TGCTTTAAAATCTTTTACTTTTAAGGTTTTGAGGCCTACCGACCAGGCTTTAGAAGTTACTGTACAACAAAAGAGCTCCTCAAACCAAATATCTTATTTAAAAAGGAGAAGCCTTGGAATAGGTCTAAAAATGGTTTTTGGAAGTTAAGCTGAAACAGAGAAAAGGCTACTTGGAAATGTTATATTGGAAGGCAGAATGGAAATAGGACTTCTGAATACTGGACAGAATCTTTGGGTTGTGTCTTCAAGCAGAAAGGACAGTAGTTGAAAGGAGGGAAGGATGCCCAGGAATTAATACTAGTGTCTTTGTTAGGTCTAGTTATTTATTATGGAAAGTTTTTACCTAACTTACCTAGAGAACAATAAGCCTTCTGACATGTTTGCTTAAGGAGAGTGTCTCTGGGGCTGCCAGACGGAAGAATGTGCCAGACAAAGGCATGACTGATACGAAAACTCAGGTGGGTACAATATGTTCAAATAGAGGATCTGCTTACTAATTCCATGGAGACAACTATGGATAAATGTTGATGGAGACAGCAGGCTACTCAACGATTGTCAACTGTACCTTAGTTGCAGAAATTTATTTTAAAAAACTGTTCACAAGGCATTCACAAATATTATGAAAAAGGTGTCTCTTTTTGGGTAGACCAATGCATTTCTTTTTTAAAAAGAAGAGCTTTTACATTAAAAAAAAAGCAAGGGAGATGCTAGTGTTTCAAAGAACCCCCCCCTTCATTATTGACACATCCTCTGAGCAAGTCTATTGCTCTCTGGATCAAGCCATACAACCAAAACAGTGTGGTTGAATGAATGAATGAATGAATGAATGAACAAGGTTGAATCCTGTTTCGAGCGGAAAAAGGAAACGATTGTCAATTGTCAGTCCACATCCACTGTACCCGATTTTGGCAACTAAAAAAGCAGCAGAGCTTGAGAGGCGACTTTGGAGCTGAGGAACCAGCAAAACACTTCCGTGGTTCTTTCCCCAAGTTCAACAACAGAACTTTCCTTTCCCTCTACTTGCCCCTTGACATTCTCAGCATGTTAACCTGACCTTGTGACGACACACTGGTTGCCGTGTCCGTCGAGGGCTGTTTGTCCATGAATTGCACAAGTGCTGGGTGTTACCCAGACCTCCAGGGTGGACCTGCAGTCTCCAGGTTTGCCTGGCCACCTCCAGGTGGCAAGGGGGAGACGGCAAGAGTATCTATCTATCTATCTATCTATCTATCTATCTATCTATCTATCTATCTGGCTCTGCATGCATCTTGCAAGATTCAGTCTGGCAAGAGCCAGCTCCAAATTATTGCATAGACTGGGGGGAGGGGGTCCTGCCCTCATCTGCTCCATTCTCCCCTCCCCCAATTAATCTCCATCTCCAGGGCTTAGTGGTGGGAAGGAACACAAAGGGTGGGGGGAATCACCAAGGGCTGCCCTTGTGAAATCATCCGTAGGCCTAAAGTTTGGACCCTTAAATCTCAGAGTCTGGGATGCTACCGATCTGACAAACCTAACTGGGTGCCATATTATTTTGTACAAGCCTTCAACTAACTCATCCATTTTCCTCCGTCCCCATCTCTCATATGGAAGCATGGTTCAGTTTATGGGAATTATATGGGAGGGGGCACATTTTCAAGAATGGAGTTAATGATATATAACACACCCCTTAAGGTTTACAAATTGCTTCCAAGTTAGCCTTTGCAATCCTTTTTTTGCTGTGTTTTTATGGAGCCCACAGAACTTTGCTGTCAAACCGTTGTGCTTTTTCTGACCTGATTTGTGACCCTTTTAAAAAGAATATTGTGCCATTTCAATGCCAGACCTACAGCTTCCTCTTTGTGGGTTCAGCCTGGTTCAAGGGCAAGTTCAGAATCGCCTCTTAATTAAGTCAATTTCTGTCTGTCCTTGAGGAGAGGTCAACTGCTTGCTTCCCCCCTCACCCCTCACTTCGTTATACAAAGTAAGGCCATTTCACTGTAAAATAAATAAAGGAGTAAAACCAGAAAGAAATGCAACTGGTGTCCTGTCTGGAGGAAGGGTCTGTATAAAAACACTCAGGCACCAAACCACTTTGCATGTAAATGACAGGTGGCCAGGAATGCAAGACCAGGTGGGGGAGTTATGGAAGAAGCAAGTAATTATTAGCAATGCGAAGGCAGGAGCTGCCAGAGGCTAAATAAGGACATATCTGCATACAAATCAGTTCTAGCCTGAGTTATCCGGCCTCTTCAGGGACTTCTCAGCTGACACACTCCTGCCATTTTGTGCTATCTGGAGCTCAAGCACATCCTATGTTCTCATCGGGGCTTCAGGTTTTAGATCCTAGAGAAGGCACACTTCTAGTCTCTCCAGGTAAAGCAAACTCTTTAAACGGGCAGGAGACTGTGGACAGAGAGCCCTGCCCAGCTCTCTCTCTCCCCAGGGCTCCTAACTCACCTGCGTTCTTGCCTTCACGCCATCTCGTGCCCTGCTGGGGGGGGGGGGGAACCATTGCAGTAAATACACAAATATTGCACTGATAATGATGATGATGACAGTAATAATGATACAACACACACGACATTTGTTATTAGGCACAATGCATATTACTAGAAATGTTTCCGTTCCAATGCCACCACACTCCTCACTGTCAGTGCTTGCTGGGGGGAAAAGACTCTTGCAGTCAATATACACCTATTGCACTAAGAATAATATGACACACGGGATATTTGCTGTTATGCACAATGCATATTACTTAAAAGATTCCTAAGCACAAGTTTGGGATTCTTTCTGGCACACTGTTAGAGATGAGGGTGGATCAGTCCCTCTCAAGGAGGTCACCCGTTACACGGGAACTTGAAGGCAAAAGAGGTCACCCTGTCTGTAAAACCAGGTATAAACCTGGATTTTAATTCTATTATTATTATTATCACCATCATTGTTGATTTATTCCCTGCCCTTCAAGCTAAGGTTCTAGGATGGGTTACGGCATTAAAACCATATTAAACACAACTTAAAATAACTTACAACCATAAAAATAAGGTGTGGCTGAAAACAGTTGTTTGCTGTACAGCCTGGGCACAGGATTATCACCACAGTGAGAGCTGGACTTTCCCATTCCTTTTTTTTTGGAAGCCCACCTGTATAGCCTTCCCCACTTTTATTATTGATTAAAAGACCGGCCCCAGGAAGCTGCAGACTTAAGAAGATGGGGGGAGGGCGGGCATTTTTCAAGTCAACTCCCTTCCCCTCAACTGCATTTTGACCAGCAGAATGTGGATGTTGCCCCAGGATGAAAAGCAGCTCAGGGCAGTTTTGAGTGGGGAAACAACCCCTCAGACTGAGGGGAATGAGCTGCTTCTCCTCCCCTGGTTCTCCCTAAGATCCACAGCCTTTCATGGCTGTCCTTGCCAAAAATGGAAACAAGACGTAAGGGGGGAAATGTGTACTTTTTGGTTTGAGATGAGTGAGCTGAAGCCACGTTCGTCGGAGCAGAATCTTCTTTTCAGAAGCCCCCTTGGGTCCAAATGGTGCTAGTCCCACTTTCCAGGCTAATATGTCACGGCGCTTGGGGTGCAATGCTTCCTGTACCGTTGCATCTGGGAAGAGGCCTTGTGAGCAAACCAGGAGGACTCATAACTGAAATAGACAGATGAGTCTGAAAGAGTGGTTCAGATTATGAGCGCAGGCATGACCCTCATTTCTGCTCTTTCCATGAAACGGTGACTGTTTTGAAGGAGTCTTTCTTCAGCTGTGCTTCTGATACAAGCCTTGCCTTAATTTGGGTGACCTTGTCCGGCCCTGAAGCTCTCCCCTCAAGCTTTCTGGTTGTTTGGGGGGTGGGATTCGCCACTGCTTCCCCTTTAGCACACCCCTTCCCTTTCAAATTGCATTTCAACATTTGTACCGTGTGTGATTTTATCGCTTGACGTCAGTAGCAGGAGTTTTGCTTTCTGCCAGGGCACCAAGAATGCAAAGACACGGCCACCATCTGGTGGCTACTGAAGGCAACGCAATGTTTGGCGAGTTTGACAGGGTTGCCAGACACAATGCTGTGTGAGAGTTTGCCAGATCAAACTTTCAGGAATAAGAATCACTTTGGAGTCACACTGGGTCTGAAATGAGGGATATTTATATCTTGTCTCTGGCACCTGATGTTTCCTCTCAAAATACAGTCGTACCTTGGCTGACAAACGCCTTAGCAGTCAAACGTTTTGGCTCCCAATCACCGCAAACCCAGAAGTGAGTGTTCCGATTTGCGAACGTTCTCCTGCAGCCAATCAGAAGCTACGCCTTGGAAGTCAAACGTTTTGGAAGTTGAGGGGACTTCCGGAACGGATTCTGTTTGGCTTCCAAGGTACGACTCTACACATGTGATGCTGTCTCCACTTTCAAAGCCCCTTTCTACAAAGCCTTTGGGCAAAACCCCTTAGATCTTCTCCCCTACTGGAACAAGTCCTAAACACTTCTTCTTCTTCTTGTCCTCCTTGCCTCCTTTCCTCTCCCTCTAGCAGAGCAGTCGCCAGCCATTTCAAGATTTGAGATACGACTCATTTTCCAAAAAACCAAACCCACCCACACAAACCTTCCCCAAAAACCGTGCTGACCCACAGAAACCCACCCAGGTAACAGCCCCTCCCCCCATTTAAACCCACCCAGAGAAACTTTCCTATGCCCCTCACAAAAAAACTAAGCACCTCTGACTCTAATTTCAGGCCCACCTTTGTGTACTTTTGCATTCTAAGCAAAATTCAAAAATTGCATTTAAGTGTCTTGTGCATGTGGAAGAGATTTACATTGGCACCGAATCACCTGAAAGACATGTAAGCACTATGTCTAGATGCAGCTTTCAACTACCCTTCCCATGTGATAGTTTACCATGTAACTTAAAATTTTTTTGCTTTTGGAAGCAGTTCAGTGATTGGCCGGACTACAGCTTCATGCAATGGGGATAGTGGGAGAGTGTTGGGGATGGATGGATGCCGGCTGTAAGAAAAAGCCTGAGCTGTTGAGAGTCCTGTATATTTTTTAAAAACCTTGACCATTGTTTATTCATGCCACCAGCTGTCCACAAGTGTAACTAATTGAGGTAAAAACATTTTATTCTAGAATGCGCTCTATTGAACCATTAAGGGGTCTCTGGTTAAAACAACCCTGAACATTGCACAGAAAAATAAGTATCCCTTTGCAGTCAGGACCACTTCTGAATGCCACTGCAGGAAGGCTGGTAACATGGCAGGAACAAAGGTAGCACCAAACATGGGAAGCCTGTCTTCTCATTCACACACCTGAGGGCTCCATCCCATGTTACATTTGGCAGATATTGCACTCTTTGTGAACACAAACGCAAACGAGCAACGCATGCCACTAGCTTCTAGACAAGATCATAACTGGCAGACTTTTTGACTTGGATCCAGTGGCATGCATGGCCCAGCTGCATTTATGATGGTGCTCCTTTCGTTTATATATATTTCTTGCTGTCCATGCAGTCAGACATTGGTTATTCCTAAAAACAAGAGAAGGTAACCTTTGGGGGCAAGAAGGAAGGAAAACCGAAAGAAGCAATGGAGGTATTTAGCAACCAACAAGTAAGGTTCATTCACCAACAGATCTAGGACTCTGAGACACACACACACCCCATCAGATTTTTCAAGATGCTCCCCAACATTTTAGCGCATTGATAAATGCACAACAGTCCTTTATCCTTCACCCCAATTTTGCTGACCAGGAGAAGCAAACTCTGGATCCAAATATGGCAAACTGCTTTCCAGCTTAGCCCACCTAGAGAAGGTACAAAGCAGAAGTAGGCAGCCCTCTGCCCATCCACTCTCCACAGGCTGAGTTTCTGCGAAAGCGGCTGGCTGGCTCCAGATCCAAAAGGTGAGACTTAAGCAAACTAATCACGGAGAGGCAGAAGACAGAAGAGTTTGCTCCCAGATGCCGGTCCGTTTGCCTCTATCCTCACTACTCACCACACGGAGGAACTAAGGAACAGGGCAAAACCTGGTTCAGGAGTCTGCTTGTCCATCTCTCTCAGTCCAGAGGAAGCGTAGGGTTCTCCAAGAAGACGGCCAGCTTGCCCGCTACCATATCCAGGTCATTGGTGTTGGCATACTTCAGCAGGTTGGTGCCTTTGATGAAGTAATGCTTCAGGAAGTGCTGGCTCACACATTTGTGCAACTTGCGCACCATCCGCAGAAAGCCTTTGCGGAAGCAGGACCAGTCCTTGGAGCGAGGGTACTTCTCGCACGTCCAGAAAAGCACCATCTGCAGAAGACACAAATGAGGCCCAATAGATGGAATTCAACAACACAGGAAGTACGGGGGTGGGGGTGGGGGGTGGGATACAGTCTACATGGGATGGCTCCCAACCTTGAAGTCAATACAGTGGTACAAAGTTAAGTTAAGTCAAGCAGATATATAAGAATAAATGCTTAATTATTAAGTCATGCACAGGCAAGAAATAGACACAGGCAAGAAATAAGCAGCAAAAAAAGAAATGGATAAATGTTGGTACATAATGAAATGTGAAAATGTGAATTTACAAATATAATGTATATGTATCACTATGTAAATATTTCATATATGTATTGCAACATTAATAATAAATAAATAAATTTTTTTAAAAAAAGTAAATACAGTGGTACTTTGGTTCTCAAACGCCTTGGTACTCAAACAACTTGGAACCCAAACACTGCAAACCCGGAAGTAAGTGTTCCGGTTTGCGAATGCTTTCGAGTGCCACACTTCCGTTTTGAGTGTTACGCTGAGGTCTGTCTGTTTTTGCTATTTATTTTGCGTTTTTGATTTTGCGGCTCTTTTTGTTTTGCTTTTGTGAGTGTGTGGAACCCAGTTCAGCTACTGATTGATTGATTGTGTGACTGCAGTACATTGTTTATTGCTTTCATTTTATGGATCAATGGTCTTGTTAGATAGTAAAATTCATGTTAAATTGATGTTTTAGGGGTTGTTTTTAAAAGTCTGGAATGGATTAATCCATTTTGCATTACTTTCTGTGGGAAAGCGCATCTTGGTTTTGGAACGCTTTGGTTTTGGAACGGACTTCTGGAATGGATTAAGTTTGAGAAGCAAGGTGCCACTGTAGTTTAGAAATGCTACAGCTTTCTCAGTGAAGCTCACTGTTGCTCTGGCGTGAAAAGTAAGTTGCCAGCTGCATCTTCTTCTGCCTGCTGCCTTTGTTGCTGAAGTTGGAACCCCTGATACCCAGGAGAATTTGGGGTTTCCAGTATACTGGGGGGGGGGGCAACAACAGCCGGGGGGGTTGGCTTGGGCCTGGCTGCCAGAAAAACAAAGGGCAAGACCAGGCTTCCTCAAGCTCAGCCCTCCAAATGTTTTTGGCCTACACCTCCCATGATCCCTAGCTAGCAGGACCAGTGGTCAGGGATGATGGGAATTGTAGTCTCAAAACATCTGGAGGGCCGAGGATGAGGAAGCCTGGGCAAGACCATCTCCCACCCCCCAAATATCACAAACACAAAATCTGGGCCAAAAATGATTTCCCTGCAACTCACTAGCACGTCTCTGGCAAGTGCTAGTGTCTGGCCTACATAGTATATCTTCATGTTTATATGGAGTTGTTTCCATAACTGAAAGCCTAGAAACATACCAGAACGTTTAGAAACACCACAGCTGGTGTCTCCATCACACAAGCCTATTGTGTAATGTTTGGCCCTGTGTGGGTCTGCAGAAAGTGTCCCATCTAGAAGAGAGAACATAGGGGCTTGCTAGCACAAGTGAATTAGACGGCCTTCTTAATAATGGCATCCGGTCCGAGTAATGACCCGGATCAAGGGTGGAAAACCCTTTTTCTGCATAGCTGCCAACTTACAGATTTGAAAATAAGGGACCAGCAGGCTCGAAAATAAGGGATCAGCAGCCAAAATAAGGGATTTTAGTCAACCAGCATCCAAACAAAGCCTCAGGCGGTGATTCCCACAGCGCAGCAACCCGGCAAAGGGGATGCAGCAAGGAAAACCACCGTCACCTCTCCGCTGGGAAGCGCTGAGCAAAGGCAAGTCCCCAGGCAACACGGCCAATTTGATTGGCACAAGGCATGCAAGCTCCACCCCCCAGTCGCTCTTAGACTCCTTATTAGGTGAGCAACGCAGCCAAGCAACACAGTTGGAGCCTTCCTCCTCCCTGGCCGGCAGGGAGGGAGGGAGAGGAGCTGCTTCTTTTGAAACCCGGGAAATTTAAGGGACAGCAGCGGGACACAGCGCTGGGATAAGGGACTTTCCCACCAAATAAGGGACAGTTGACAGCTATGTTTTTCTGTCAAGTGTCAGATTCCGTTGGGACTACTCTGTCAGAGGTCAATGGTGGATGGAGCCAGAGCAGAAAATGGCAGACTCTACCCATTTCCTCTCTCTTTCCAACACAACCTTTTCCTCACCTCCTTCCCCACCCAGTAGGATCCTGTGGTGTGGAGAAGAGAGAGTCAGCTGCCTTGCGCCCTTAGCAAACCACAGGCAATGAAGAAGCGTTAAGGAGCCAGTCCTCCAAAACATCTCCTCTTGTTTTGGGGTACAGATCTCTCCCCCCTTCCCAATGCCTCACTGGCTGCGCACACACCTGCAGGTGGAAGGCTGTGAGGACTGGCTTGTTTCCTGCACACCAGACATCTTCCTTCATCTGCCTCATAACCCGGAAGCACATCATGCGGCAACCGCCGTCCTCGTCGAGTCCCTGCATCAGGATGTGCTCAGCTCTCGCGAAGCTCAGGTACCAGTGGTAGTTGGAAGAGGCCAAGAGGTCAAAGCCAAAAGACTGCGGAAAAGAAGCAGAGCAAGTTGGGGAAGGAAAAGACGGGGGAGAGAAGGCAAAGGGCGCCCCACCCCCAGCTGAGAGATTGGTTGAGCAGCTCCATAGGAGCAGCCTTTGCATTGTTTCAATCCATCACTTATCCGAAGGGTCCAGGGTGCTTACTAATACTCTGAAACAGATTGAAAGGCACAGAATTATGCAAATAAAACATATTAAAATATGCTAAATTAAAAGCAACGTTTCCATGCTTATCCCATTGCCTTCAAAGGGATACCTACCTACGGGACCGCCTCTCCCGGTATGCCCCGCAGAGGACCTTAAGGCCCACAAATGACAACACTTTGGAGGTCCCAAGTCGCAAGGTGGTTAGACTGGTCTCAGCTAGGGCCAGGGCCTTTTCAGTACTGGCCCCGAGGTGGTGGAACGCTCTGTCCCAAGAGACCAGGGCCCTGTGGGACTTGACATCTTTCCGCAGGGCCTGCAAGACGGAGCTGTTCCGCCTGGCCTTTGGTTTGGACTCAGTCTGACCCTTATGTTTCCCTCCCCTTATGGTTTTGATTTATGGGCTACTTTTAAAATGAGGCTGCATTTTAAATTGCATTTTAACCTGTATTTTAAATTGGTATTTTCCTCCCTATTACGTTTTTATTGTAATTTTACTGGTGTTAGCCGCCCGGAGCCCGGCTCTGGCCGGGGAGGGCCGGGTATAAATAAATTATGATGATGATGATGATGATGATGATGAACAACAACAACAGGATATCTAGAAGCTGTGTTGAGGCTTGGGCTTTGGGGACTCTCCAGCGAGAGGAAGCTGGATGCATATCCGGAGAAGAGAACATAAACTGCCCTTCACGTGCCACCATAGTTTTTAACTGGTCCAGATTAAGAAAACATTAGGCATATTTTAGTAGTCGAAAGGGAAAATATGGGAGAAGACACTGTCTAGAGCAGGGTTTCCCAAACTTGGGCCTCCAGCTGTTTTTGGACTACAATTCCCATCATCCCTGACCACTGGTCCTGCCAGCTAGGGATGATGGGAGTGGGAGTCCAAAAAACAGCTGAAGATACAAGTTTGGGAAACCCTGATCTAGTGTATAGGGTCTTAAAAGCAATTGGTCAAGAGGGATCTGGAAGTTACAGTCTTCCCCCAACCTAGTAGCATTAAATAGAAATGGTGCCCTCTTCATACTTTTGTGGGTTGTGTACATTGGCCACCTCTCCCTGGTAAGCAGAGGATTTGAAAATGACTCCTGTTTGTCTTCCCTTGCTTACAGGGATGTGCTGCAAGTTTCCACTGCTAGTTGGCACCAGACTCCTGTCTCCAGGCATGGCACACAGAAAGAGAACAGAGAAAAGTCCGTCCCCCCATCTTAACATGAGAGCTTGTGGGCATCCAATGAAGTGGGAAGTTCAAAGGTTCGGGACAGATAAGAGAAAACACTTCTTCACACAGCGCATAGTTAAACTATGGAACTCACTCCATAGTAGCGATGGCCACCAACCCATACCCTCCAACATTTCCCCGATGAAAATAGGGACGTCCCATTCCAGAACGATGATTTTACTGTTTATACCCCACACATCTTGTTGTGTTGCCCCAGCCACTCTGGGCAGCTTCCAACATATATAAAAACATAAGAAAACATTGTTTTTATTTTTATTTTTAAAAAACCCTTCCCTATACAGGATTACCTTCAGACACCCTGCGGGCTGGATAACTCCATACCCTCCAACATTTCTCCGATGAAAATAGGGACATCCTAAGGAAAAGCGGGACATTCCGGGATCAAATCAGAAACCAGGACGGCTTCTCTAAATCCAGGATGGCCCTGGAAAATAGGGACCCTTGGAGCGTCTGCCAACCTAGATATATTTCACGAAGGAGGGGGCTATCGAAGGCTACTGGCCATAGTGACTACGCTCCGTCTCCACGGCTGGGGCAGTATTACTTCTGAACCCCGGAGCAGAATATTAGTTTTAACTGTTCAAATCATTATGGCCTAAATCTTTGGTTCTCATTTATTTTATTTTATTGTGGGCCACACTTTCAGAATAAAAATTGGCCCGTGCCACACCGACTATTTTAGTGATAAGAAATACATCCTCTCCTGTCACACCCGTGTGGCGCACCGCACTCTGGGAACACCCCTGGCCTATATCCTGCTCTCTTACCCCTCCACATGCCCCTCTTTGCAAGATCAGCTTGGGGCTAAAACCACGGTCGCATCCTGGCCTGGTACCTTGACGCATTGCACTTTCTCCTGGCTAGGCCAGCGCTTGAAACATCGGGGCCACTTGATTTTCCGAGGCCAACAAGTTGGGATCTCAATCGTTGGAACCAGCTCAACCTCCACCTGGACGTCGGATGTCTCCACGGCAACATGGACCACCGGGCTGAAGCCTTCCAGAATGCTGACTCGCTCTGGGGGAAAGGGCATCCAAAGGGGATTTGTCAGCAGAAACCGGACTGCAGCTGATTCCTCGCCTGGCACAATTCTGCAGCTGGCATTTCCTCTTCCTATGCCCAATATTAGCTGGATTCTGACATTCATTAATTTCTTGGGTTTAGGGGCACCCCCCCAAAAAAAAATCCCTTATGACAGTATGCTTCTGCCAGTCTGTATCTATAGTCACAAAGGCAGTTCAATTTCATTTCACTTTTAATTTGTATACCGCCTTTTTATATTTACTTGCACAAGGGGGTTTACAGCAACAAAATAAACAATCAAGAACACGCCCCTTACAATAATCTGGTCCAATACAGAAAGGCATAACAAAATATAACTTTTAAACAGAATGGCTTATATAAAAGAAATTAATAGTCAACAATCTATTAGAATATAATAATACGCAATAAAATTAACTCTGAAAACATCAGCAAATAATTAAACAGAAATTCACTCTTAATTACAATAAGTATGATCTAAACTATGATCATTAGAAATCGCTGCAAGTCACAATGCAGATGATGATGGTGGTGATGATGATGATTTGTGGTATGGTCTGTCATGAGGGCCAGGACCACTCTGCTGGGGTGTGTGTGTGTGTGTGTGTGTAGACCCGGCAGAAATATCTGTTTGAGGTTTGGAGAGGCCATGAGTGCCTGTGGTTGATTGTGGGAAAGGGCTACCCTGAGCCACTTCCTCTCGCACCTGCCCCAGTGAACTCACCTGTGAGATTGTGAGATGCGATCGCTTTCTCCACAAGTTCTCGGAAGACAGCCAGGATCTTGGCAGGCACAAGGTCGCCCTCGATGTTCACATCTGCCTCGTGCCACTGCTGAAGGCTCTTGGAGAACTGCTCCACTTCCAACCACTGCTGCAGCTCCTCTGGGTCCCTGACAGGGGACAGGAGCTTGGCTCCATGCGTCGTGTAGTAGCGCCAATGCCGTACTTGGCCTTCTTTGTACCCAGACAGGCCAAGCAAGGGGACGGTGATGAGGAACTGGCCGGGTGTTAAGACCTAGACAGATTCAGAAAGGTTGGAACAGGAAATGGCTAGGATGGCCAGGAAACTAGAACAGACATTGGGCTTGTCCACACTTCCATGGGTCAGATCTGAATTCAAGGCTTCCTGATTCACGGCTGAAGGCAACCCTACGCATGCTTACTCAGAAGTATATATGTTAAGTACTGGAGCCTTGGTTACTTCACTACATCTGCTAACAGTGAGGAAATGATCTATCTCTCTATATAATAATAATGTAAGAATGCCATCAAGCAATCCTCATTGGAAGATTGGCAGTGCCGTATCACTATCCTGGATTTGCATGAAGTCAGGTTGGGATAGGGAAGCAAAAGTGAAGGCAGGTTGCACAACAGCAATGGCCCCGGCAGAGGAGTGAGGAGCAGGCAAGACTGAGAGGGGAAAAGAGGCAGTTGAAAACAACAGAAGAGTTTTAATTAAAGCAGGGATTGAGTGAACTGAGAGGGAAATTGTTAAGTTGTGGGTGAACATATCAGACGACACAGCGATTCTTCAAACAGCTCTTGCTTATTCACAGGCCAGAACAGAACTGAGCTGAAGGGTTCAGCCAGCCTGCTTATATAGAGCTCCACTACAACACAACAGTAACCACTTTCTGTAACTATCCAATCACTGAAAGTCACTTTCAATCCCTTATTTGCATATGTGGATCTGAGTGAAAACTATCTACAGTATCCCCCTTCTGGCCCAGGGTGAGAACTTCAGTACATAACAGAAATGGTGGTTTGAAACAACAGCAGGTGTTTGAGTAAAGTACTATGGAATATTTGAGGGCTTAACATCCTTGGGGAAGTTTGAGCACAGTGAAAAGGGAGGGACACTGAAAAGCAAGCAAAGTGGCCATTTTAAACAACAGCAGAGGTCTGAATAAAACAAGGATGGGATTCCTCAGAAAGGAATTACAAGGCATAAGTACAGATGGAATTTATTGTTCATGTGCCATTGCAAAGAAGTCCCACGTGGCTTTAGTGGGGATGACAAATTCCGTGGTACGTAAAGCCCAGGGACTAGAATACGTCAAGCAAAATGTGAAGCCCCCTTCTTCAGGTGAGACTTCTCAGGCAGCAGGTGAATTAAAAGCATGACTTTGTGCTTTCATACATTTTGGGAGGGCTTGGCTAGGGAAGAGGTGAGTTAGGGTAGTTGGTGGAGTGAGAGTGGTGGTGATCAAGGGAGGAAGCAGACATGAGGGGACCTGGAGGGAACCTATGCAAGGTGTTTGTACCTGGATAGACGGGTGGAAGGGGCTCTTCCCCTGAAGCAGAGCTGACCACTTGGCCAGTAAGGCTGGCTGATCCTGAGAGGCAGCAAGGAAAGAAGTAGACAGAACAGAGGCAGTAAAAGGCGGTTAGTTGGCTAACTAAAAACGCAGCTGGTGTTAATGCAAATCACTAGGTAGGGTGAAATCCAAAGAGATGCCAGCTTTGCAGCCTGGAGATGGAACTTCTTCAAAACACGGCAATGAGCTACTTTCTTCCCTTGTGTGGTCTTTGCTTGCTCTGTCAGTTCAGTCTCTTTCTACCTTATCTGCCTGCAAGAGAGGTGAGTGGGGGACCCAGGGCAGAGAGAGCGAGAGAGCAGGAACTGCAGTCATCTCCGCAGGCTTTGCAATGCTGAAAAACAGCTTGTGGTGGCAGCCTCACAACCTTCTCCAGTCTACTAAAATGCGGTGTCCCTTTGCTGCAAGTGCCATTTCTGAAAACGGGTATCAACCTCCAAGAACTGAAGTGAGGAAAAAGTGAGGGAGAAGGGAGAAATGGTGCCACCATTTGTTGGCTCCCCCCTCACCTTGCCACAAGGTCTGGAGACTTGTTGGGACATTTCGTTCCCTCTCCCCCCGCCCCACAGCTTGCCACCTAGACCTGATGGGTTTCCCAATTTCCATCAGTCATCTCAAGGGCGACCCTGCAAGGGACCTCTAAGGCTGCTGGTTAATGTCAAACTAACCTCGCCCCAAGCCAGGAATGTAGAAAGGGCACTTCAAAGGGGAACTATGGTCCCTGGGATTTTCTGCTACCCATATTGATCCCTGGGGCTGGGAATGATGATCATCGGTACTCACATGTTGCTAGTGTTTCAGTAGTCTGAACCAGCCTGCCTGATGTCTAAATAAGCCCTCTGTTCAGAACCCCCACCATTCCGAGTCTGCAGGTTCAGCCCCTTCTCACGGATGCATGTAAATTAAAGTGTTACCTGGATATCACCATTTGCTGCACCCTCCCTCTAAGCATTCACCTGGAGTTAACTTAGCTGTAAGGTTACTAAGGGACGTGGGTTAAACCAGAGCCTAGGACTTCCTGATCAGAAGGTCGGCGGTTCGAATCCCCGCAACGGGGTGAGCTCCCACTGCTCAGTCCCTGCTCCTGCCAACCCAGCAGTTCGAAAGCATGCCAAAGTGCAAGTAGATAAATAGGTACTGTTCCGGCAGGAAGGTAAACGGCGTTTCCGTGCGCTGCTCTGGTTCGCCAGAAGCGGCTTAGTCATGCTGGCCACATGACCCGGAAGCTGTACGCCGGCTCCCTTGGCCAATAAAGCGAGATGAGCGCCACAACTCCAGAGTCATCCACAACTGGACCTAATGGTCAGGGGTCCCTTTACCTTTACCTAAGGTTACTAATGGTAAGAACTATGTACACCGCTTTGAGCTCTTTGGGAGGAAAGTGGGATTCAAATACATTAAGTTAAAAAAGATACGAAGGCAAGCTTCTCTCAAAAAAAGTTTAGCTCTTCAGCTGTAGCTATTTAGTCAGTTGACAAGAACCGTTGCTGATTTGCAGAAATGAAACATTTGCTCCCTGCGGCCTGCCTTCCAACCATTAAATATGAAACTGTGCCTTTCTCCGGATGCTTGCAAGAGTTATTAAAAAACTTCCTTTACAAAGGGTTGATGTTTTAGGGGTTTTACTTACTAAATAGAATGAGAACCTTTATCAAATCATGGAATTGCCAAGGTAGAAGGAATGTTGAAGACCACCCTCTCCACATCTCCCTACCTTGCACAAAAGCTTGCCATGCCCCACAACATCTCTTAGAAGAAAATGACCAGCCTATAATCGCATCATTGCTACGCAGTGGCAGAAACTGACAAAACACTGATGTTTTTGTGCAGTCCACAGCATCTGGACATGGGAGATGGGGGAGGTCGTATTTGATTACAGCCTCTGAAATAGCGAGACCTGGAAGGGTCTGGGCAGCAAATAACCAACATGCAAGGAGGCTACCAGACAGCATCTGTTGTGAGCAGCAGACTCCTGACCATATCTGCTCCTGCTGACCTTATCTGCTCCATCTTACTGAATTCACACACCCAGCTAAGAAGGACTGCAGCCTCAGACCTCAGTTACCATCACCTGTAGTCTATCTCCTTCACTCTTTTCAGAAGCTCATACTTTCTCTGGTACACAGTAGAACATCTCTATGGCCAAAGGCAACCGTGTATCACCAGTGGTACCATCCTTCTCTTCAATCAATTTCCACTGGCATTATGGTACACCCAGGGCAGATCTACGCTCATGGGTTATGACATTAAGGAAGGGTTAAGGAATGATTTTCCTAACGTAGATAGATGGGCATGTTACGTTTTGCTTGTAACGTTAATAATGCGTCATTGAAAGGTGACACCAGAGGGCGCTGCAGAGCGACCAGGAACTGGCAGCAGGGAAACTGAATTTGACAGGGAAAACAAGGTGAGGAACGTTTGAAATTTACCAGTCTGCCCTGTGACGTTTTAGAACGATCTAAGTAATGTCATTCTAATAAGGTTAAAAAGGTCTGCGGAGATCCAGCTCCATTTTTAATAATTGCAAGGAAGTATGGCTCTGATTGTAACTGAAGGCTGAATACGAGTGGTAATAGAAGCCCATTCAGGGGTATTGAGGATATGAACCGGAAACAATGAAATCATCCTGAGTTCCAGCCTCTTCCTGCATCTTTTGGTTGTGCATCAGTCCTGGCTTCTGGTTTGCTCCTCAAATCCTGCCTTCTGGTTTGCCCTTTGGTTCTGAATTACGCCTTCATTCCACGACTCCTGGTTGCCCACAAGCTGCTTCCCACACAACCCAGACCTTCCACTGTCCTTTAAAGGTCGCAGAACTGTAGTTCAGAGCAAGAAGCCGGAGGCACCAGGTGTAGCTTTAATCCTGCAGTCTATAATGGACAGACGGTGCTCCCATGAGGAGGAGGGTCCAGAATCGCTCGTGGACTCAGTGCACATAATAATAATAATAATAATAATAATAATAATAATAATAATATATTTATACCCCACTCATTTGGCTGGGTTTCCCCAACCACTCTGGGTGGCTTCCAACAAAATATGAAAAAAACCACATTAAAACAACAGTCATTAAAAACTTCCCTAAACAGTGCTGCCTTCAGATGTCTTCTAAAAGTCAGATAGTTGTTTATTTCCTTGGCATCTGATGGGAGGGCGTTCCACAGGGCGGGCGCCACAACTGAGAAGGCCTGGTTAAAGCCAAAGACCCCATGCACGCTTACCTTCATGTTTTCGTTATGAATCCCAGAGTTAGAAATTGCCTGGAAACGAGAATCCTTGTTGCTAATTTCATTGGTAAGCCGTTGTATGATTTTTTGCACTTCATCCACGGTTTTGGCCACTGCTCGGTGCCTCAGGTCCACCTGCAGACAAAACCCAACATTCTTACTATATTGTTTCGGACCCCAGACTATATAGAATCAGAGAATTGTAGACCCGGAAGGGGGTGGTGGAGGAAGGGGATGGGGAGGGCAGTCTGCTTTGGGTGCCAGCCCGGGGGGGGGGTGTTGACGTCGCTGTGGTCAGGCGCCTCCCCCTTGGGGTGATCGCTCGGGCGGGCGCCACTCCATTGGGACGCCCCCAGGTACCAAAGCCCCTTCCTCCACGACTGCCGGAAGAGACCCCCAAGGGGCATCTAGTCCACAGCTTAACCAAACAAAGCTACTGAAACACAGACCTTCTGGAAGGCATATTATTCAGGTGAACCTTGCTGTGTGCGCATGTACACATGTATGTGAGTCTGCATGCAAATGGCATGGGAATTCCAGTTCGGAGGGCACTGTCCAGTTCAGTAGTTCTGCTAGTGGAAGGATTCTGTTTTTAGAACGGAACTTCCCTCCCCTCCCCAAATCTTTTGGGTTGGGGAAATATCTAAAGGGTTGTCCCCCTTTAGGTATTATTTACACGGCAGAGCTTCCTATGCTTAATTCTGAGTTGTTGTTTAGTCGTGTCCGACTCTTTGTGACCCCCTGGACCAGAGCACGCCAGGCACTCCTATCTTCAATTATGAGTACTTACACCCAAATTTACTGGATCTTACATTTACTCGGCTGGATCTTTGAATTCATTTGTGTTCTTCATTGTATTGTGAAGCATCTAAAACTATCACTTGAATTGCTTGGCCTTTTGTAAAAACGAAACAAAAAATTGATCCCCCCCCTTTTCCCCTCAAGGTTTATACACTTAGATTACGCTTCATGCACCTGGCAAAGCAGACTTTTGCCCATGAAAGTGTCAGCTGCAATGAAATTATTATTATTATTATTATTATTTTGAATTTATATACCACCCGTCATCTGTAGATCTCACGACAGTTCACATCATAAAATTTACAATTTTTAGGCATTAAGATGCTTCAGAACTCATCTTTATTGCCCTATATGTCAAATTTCTGGCATCTATGAACTGTATGAGAATCTGTGCTTTTCAGACCTGTTTTTAATATACTCTAGTTGCCTGCTGCCCTCCAATTCAGGGTGGGGATTTTTGTAAAAAACCCAACAAGAGCAGTGTTCCTTCCTTCTCAAGAGGTGTCTTCTCACTGGGGCGAAGTTTTGTTTGTTGAAAATCCCTTATTACATTGTGTTGACTATACTTAATTATATCATGGGCAGGGTCAAAGTCAATTAGATTTCTTGTGCGACTATATAAAAAACAAGAAGAACGAGGTGTGCATCAAGAAATCAAGAAATCAGAAGGTGGGGGAAAACACAAACGAAAACACGAGGAAGAATGAAGCTGCTTCTCATATACAGATTCAAATACGTGTGGATGTAGAGTGTCTAATTTGATGGGGCAAAGTGGATTAACAGCTACTTAATGCCCAAACATGGGCAAGCCCAAAGCGTCCTTCTGTTAATGCCCAGTTTGAGTAGCTACTGAGAAAATCAGGGCCAAATTAGACACGACAGCACAATATTTCCCACGTGTTTTGAAAAAGTAAGTGCAGCTGTGGACAGAAGGCGTCTTGGATCTGCAGTGCTTCTGGAAGGGGCTGAACCCTTTTCACTCTGCATTTTTCTGCGTTAAGATCCTGCCTCTGCAGACAAGTTAATGAAGAAAGGCTTCCTACGGTTAAGAGAATTTGAAGGAACACCCCCCCCCGCCCCCTGCCAAATTACTCTAGCCATTCGTATCTCTCCATAGAGAGCACCTGCCCTATTTGGCTCCAGCAGACAGACTGAAAACTACCACGGATCCTCTTGCATTTGTTCATAATGGTTTACTGTGGATCCAAGATTGGGTGCTTCAGAGCAGGAGGCATTCCCGGGTTAGATTTTGTTGATCCTTCCCAAAATTTCATTCAGTTGGTACTTTACCTGGAGAGTTCTACCCAGTGCTCATTTTTCCTATTAAAAAATGTTTAGGGGTCCTCTCCTTTTCCTACTCATATTGAAATACTGCCCCTCAATGAGGCCAAACCTAGATTCATAAAATGTTGAGGGGGGTGTGTACCCCTGCGCAACGCCCCCCCCCCCCGCTGAAAAAAACACACTGGTTCTACCTCATAAACATGAAAACAGAATTCCGACCCATGTCCCTTACCTTATTCTGAAGGTATTGTTCTACAGCTTCTTCTGCGAGGGGTTTCATGGCAAGGACTTGTCTTCAGCGGATCTCCAAGGAAATTCCTTTGTGCCTGCAGGGTTTTCTTGACACTGACGCGGGACAACAATCCCGGGGTTTCACATGCGCTTTTTCTATTTCATTAGGAACCTTGTTTTTCCTGCATATGGAGAAGGAAAGCAAATCTTCTTTTTGTCCCGCATTACAGCACCCATGCGCAGCTTAGCACTTAAGGACATTCCCAGTCCGACCCCCTCCAAAAAGAAAACGGGTTCGATTGTTTCCATTTTTAAAAATGCAAACAATCTTAACATGTGCAGACTTAAGAGTTTCAGAAAAGGCTAATCTTTTATGAAAAAGCAGCGCACTTTCTCAGCCATTGCTGACTGCCACAAGACACTTCCTTGCTCAGTCAAGCTCTCTTGCCCATATCGTTTGCAAAATAAATCATCTTCCACCCCCCCCCCTCTGCAACAGAGCCCTTGGTTTTACACGCTTTGGCGTTGCCGTGCAAGGCCTCTGCTCCTTATCTCTCCTTTCTGCCTCCTGCGAGTATTGACTGTAAATGCCACACCACTTGGGCCTTGCCTGCCAGCCGCTCGCCTTTCTTGACTGTAAACACAGACTAAGCCGCCTCTCGTTAGCTGCCAGCGGCCCAAACGAACAGAAGCACACCCACCACAAATTGCTCAGGAAGGGAAAACAATTGATCGGGCTCTTTATCAATCGAAGCGGTTGTTTGTTTTTGCAAAAGCTTGCGTCAGAGGCGTGTGGTGCACAAGGCCAGAGATTCACTCCGAACAGTTGGGCTTGGCTTGGCAGCTTGCAGTCTCTTCACTGGATACTCTTGCAGGGCCACAAGGGATTGGGAAGACCGAAACATCTGCAAATAAAAAAGGATTAGCACACAGGGGGCTCCTGCAGCTTCCATGCCTCAACCACCCAAGACATTTGGACGGGAGTTGGCCGTTCTGAAGGTGTCCCTAGCTCACTTCTGATGTTTTGGTCACGAGACAGATTGATGCGGGTTGCATGACTAGAGGAATATTGATATGCAGAGAATCCCCCTTAGGGCTGAAAGTCAGATGCCTAATTTTCCAGCCTCTAAGACTAAGTCCTTCTGCCTCACCTGTGCTCTTTTCCTCCCACTGCTGAAAGCCACACACCCAAACCTTGGCCTGTCCGGACAAGATACATTTCTAGAGATACCCTGCCAACCAGTGTCGACAATATTGAGCTAGATGCGTCAATGATCTGACTTGGTATAGGGGTTCTTCCTATGGAAAAAGTGACGCAAATGGCACTGTGGTCCAAACCATTGAGCCTCTTGGGCTTGCCGATCAGAAGGTCGGCGGTTCGAATCCCCGCGACAGGGTGAGCTCCCGTTGCTCTGTCCCAGCTCCTGCCAACCTAGCAGTTCAAAAGCAGCCCAGTATGAGTAGATAAATAGGTACCACTGCGGTGGAAAGGTAAACGGCGTTTCTGTGTGCTCTGGTTTCCGTCACAGTGTCCCGTTGTGCCAGAAGCGGTTTAATCATGCTGGCCACATGACCTGGAAAGCTGTCTGTGGACAAACGCCGGCTCCCTTGGCCTGAAAGCGAGATGAGCACCGCAACCCCAGAGTCGCCTTTGACTGGACTTAACCTTCCAGAGGTCCTTTACCTTTACCTTTGGAAAAGACAGTATACCTGGCAAAAATGTGCAACAAAGGGGGGAAATGTATGGACTGTTATGGAATACCACGAAAGCCCAGGGCGTACTACCGTTTCCTGCAACTTTGAAAATATAACATTTGGATTACTTTCAAGGTACCTTTGATGCCAGAGATCTAGGAACAGGATCACCATGATTTGCTAAACTGTAAAGTGTCAATAGCACCTGTGTATAGAGGGGGAACTTGCATTGGGTTCATAGCATGGGGCGGGGGGTGGTGGTTAATTCTTTCATGCTGTTTTCCTTATTAAAATGCCTTCCTCAAGCTGTTGCCCCCCCCCCCCCAAGCTGGACAAGACATACAGCTATTGTTGCCATTAACACTTAAAACAAAACAAAACCCCAGTAGATTCTGTTCACTGATGTTGCGTCTACTTTGGCTTTAAGACATGAGAAAACGTAAGGAAGGGATTTCTGTAAGTCAAGCTCTTTAGCCTGGTGGTATTTTGCCCTCTCTCCAGCGTAGATATAGCATTCTCACAACTTTTCAGGGTAGGCTGGAGGCAGAATAGATGTAAAAAACCACCCTGTTTTTATTTATTTTTATTTCCCCCCCAGAAAGTGAGATGTGTTCCCGACAACAGAACCATATTGGAACACTTATCGCCCCCATTCTCACCCCCACTGTACTACTTAGCTTCTTTTAATTGTTAGGGGACTGAATTTTAAAGCCTTACAGGCTATTTTAATAACTTGAATTTGGGGGCGCTGCCCACCCCTTACCAAAGACATAGTTCTGTAACCGGAGGTTCTCTTCTTCAATTTTACTACACTGTGCAGTCTTCCATCACGGAGTTGTACTTCATTCTATAAATAGCAAAGGAGCATGTTTGACCTGGCTATTTTGAGGATGTTCCGCACATCATTTTTTCTTTTTAATGATTGGATGAGTCACGGGATGGAGGCTTGCAAACAGAGAGAGCTTTACAATGTTGTCGCTAATTCGTTGTGACAGCAGCAAAGTCATGTTCCAAGGCCTTCTTCATTGCTGCCGACGACGGTAGATCAATATTTGTCAGCTCCATCAACTGTGCCTCCAGTGCTTTCTTGTTTGTTTGTTTGTTTAAACAACACACCTAAATCTGCCCTATAGATTGTTACTGCTATGTCAGTCTCAACCACTGTAAAAAGGTGATTTCTTCTTTGGAGTAAGACTTCTTTGCAACCTCTTTTGGAGGTTGCAAAATTTATCTTTGGGCAGAACGATAAAGCTAAATGGGAAAGTGAGCTTAGATATAAAATAAAATGAGTTAATCCTAAATCTGTATTCAGAGAAAGAGAGCATGATTTCTCTAGAACTGGAGTGTTGTTGTTGATGATGATGATAATAATAATAATAATAATAATAATAATAATAATAATAATAATAATTTATTACTTATACCCCACCCATCTGGCTGGGTTTCCCGAGCCACTCTGGGCGGCTTCCAGCAGAATATTAAAAACACAATAAAACATCAGACATTAAAAACTTCCCTGAACAGCCTTCAGATGTCTTCTAAAAGTCAGAGAGTTGTTTATTTCCTTTGACACCTGATGGGAGGGCGTTCCACAGGGCGGGCGCCACCACCGAGAAGGCCCTCTGCCTGGTTCCCTGTAACCTCACTTCTCACAGCGAGGGAACCGCAAGAAGGCCCTTGGAGCTGGACCTCAGGGTCTGGGCAGCGCAATGGGGGTGGAGATGCTCCTTCCGGTATCCTGGGATGAGGCCGTTTAGGGCTTTCAAGGTCAGCACCAACACTTTGAATTGTGCTTGGAAACATGCTGGGAGCCAATGTAGGTCTTTCAGGACAGGTGTTATATGGTCTCTTGTTATTTATTAAATTTGTATATTGCCCTTCATCTGAAGATCTCAGGGCGTTCCACAGCATAAAAGCACAAAATACATAATAAAAACAAGAACAAACAAAACAAACCAATAACTTCCTCTCAGAAACACCTTGAAAAGGACATAGAACTTGAACATTTGAATGCTGCATGTTCAGAATGCTACTGCAGAGAGAGAACCTCTTTAGAGTTTTGTGACTGATCTCAGGCCACTAAGGAGAGGTAACTGAGTCCTGCATAGGGCTGCCATAAGTCTGGGTTTTTCGGACACGTCCAGGAATTGGCCAGGAAAATGGCGCCCAGGCAGATTTCTGGTTTGTCCAGGAAAACCCAGACGGATGGCAAGGGGGGTTAATTTTTTTAAAAAATCATTTTAAAATTCTAAGAATAAGAATTTATTATTTATATCACGCCCATCTGGCTGGGTTTCCCCAGCCACTCTGGGTGGCTCCAACACAATATTAAAAACATGATCAAACATGTTTCGCTGGGCACATACAAAGAACTGAACTTGCATGACCTCCTGCTCCAGAATCTTGGATCTCTTTGAAATAAAGCCATTTGCTGAATCCAGAGGCTCAGGACACAGGGGAGTTTGGCGCCCACAAACTCATGACATTTCACTTCCTTGCAGCCTAAGGAAAGCTGTCTATGGCAGAACACACAAGGCGGAAACGGAAAGAAACGGGGATGAGGAGGTCTAAGGGTGAAGTCTTGCTCCTGCCCATCATAATACTGGACAGATTACTACAGGGTGTTGAGAGGGGTTATTTTTAATTATTAAGTGAGGAAACAGCAGCCATAGTCTAGGCCAGAAGTGTTTTTCTTTGGTGACCCCACCATATTGAAAAGCGTGTGTGTTTATGTGATGTTTCCTGTCCTTTCCAGAAAATCACTACGTTGCATGAAAAGGAGTCTTGAACTTTTCAAAAATAAATTAAATAAAACAGCTTAACCCACTAAAATATATATTTTAAAAAATGAATATTAAGGGGAGCCATTCCCATTGTTAAGCAAGGTAGCTAAAGTAATGGTGTCCTGTCCTCCATTGTGACCTGCCGCCCTGCTGAGTGACTTGGCTGAGGACTTTGGGAAGAGCAACTATCTGAGGAAAGTTAGTTTGAGGAGCTAGTTAGTTTGTGAGAAAGCCAAGATGTTTTCCGGTGCAATGAAGAGACTTTCTTCATCTAAAGTGTAAGTAGGATTTCTAATTCTTTCTTCATTCTGCTTCTTTTGCTATCCCTCAAAATTTAGAAACACAGAGAACTGTATCATGGTTAGATTCATTTTTAAAGATTGTCCTCAGGGTCACCTTAGAGGCTTTGAGGGAAATGGCTTGCCTTCTCCCTTGTGGGCATCATCACAAGGGCATCTTCCATTTTGGGAGGGTCTTTTGACAAGATGCCCTCGTCAGCGGGCCAACAACTTGGTTTTGGGGGGAGATGTCCCCCCCAAAGTTTTTGGGAATATGGCAACCCTAGATGACCAGCTAGTATTTGGAATCAAAGACAACAGCATCAAGAGAAGTTTGCTAGAAGATTGTGAGCTCACCTTGGAAAAGGTCCTTGGAATTTTCAAAACAGCTGAGTCAACAGAGCGGAGTCTGCAAATATTACGCAGCAGTATGCAAATATTACCCCATAGAAACCCAAGGAATTCTTTAAGCACCAGCTCACAAGACAATGCAAATACCAAACAAAAACTTACCAAGCTCTGGATGGAGGCACACAAATGCAAGAGGGCAAGAGAAGGGGGAAAGCAGAAAATTGTGCAATAAACCCGGCTGCTTTCATGAACTCATGCCATGGCCACACTATGGGAAATGTTTGCAAGAGACCACACCACTGTGCAAGGGTCTGCAAGTGCAACTTGCTGTGCATGAATTATTGCAGCAGAGAGGTTGTTCAGGAATCACTGAGCGCCAGCTGGATCTAGCCAGGACCCCAACTTTTATTGCCAATGAATCCTCCAGGTTCTCTGCCTCCCCCATGGCATATCTAGCTAAACTCGAAGTCCCTACACACCGGAGGACTTGGGCTCGATGTCATGCCCTCCCCTCGCCCTGTCCTTGAAGGCCAAAACAGGAAGGTTGCCTATCTGGAGAGGCAATGCCCCTGGGACTCTGGACAAAGAGAAACAAGAGAGCATGTGCTTCCCAGTGTCTTTTATTATAGAGACATTCGTACCAGCCGCATCTCCCCATCACTGCATAAGTACCCAGGGTGCGCAGGACAATTCTATACCTCCCTGCTGCTTTCAGATACCAACCCTGCTACAACACGCAATGTTGCCAGATTCTGCACAGCAGCGCTCAAGATTCGACGGATGATGGCCTGTGCCACAAACTAGATACAGTGGTACCTCTCTTTGCGAATAGCTTAGTTCCCGAACAACTAGTAACCGGAACGCTGCAAACCCGGAAGTAGGTGTTCCGGTTTTCGAACTTTGCCTTGGAAGCCGAACGTGCTCCTAAGCTTCTGTTTTCGCTGGTGCGCAGCTCATTTGAGGCCCCCCTCCATCATAATTAAGACTTTTCCCCTCCCATTTTTAGGCTTGTACAGCTAATTTAAGTCCCTCCCCATCGTAATTAAAGCCTTCCGTTTCTGATTGCAGTGTTCTGAGGTGATATTTGGTGCGCTTGTTTTTGCAGTTTTTTGTGGTTTTGTTTGTGTGTCTTTTTCATTTTTGTGCCTGTGGCTTGTTGTTCGTTTTATGATTGATTGATTAATTGAGTGAGTGAGTGACTGTGGAAATGGATAAAAGCTCCCCCCCCCTCCCAAATGACTATCATCAGTGCAGGTAAGAAATTGTTTTAATTTTTATTTTTATCATCTACAATACTGTCTTATTTCATAGTACAGAACATTGTCTATGGCTTTCATTTTATGGATCAATGGTCTTGTTAGATAGTAAAAGTCATTTTAAATTGCTGTTTTAGGAGTTGTTTTTGAAAGTCTGGAACGGATTAATCCGTTTTGCATTACTTTCTATGGAAAGTGCACCTTGGTTTTGGAACGCTTTGGTTTTGGAACAGACTTCCGGAACCAATTAAGTTTGAGAACCAAGGTACCACTGTATAATGAGCATTCGTATTGGAGTGCTCTGGAGACTGATAGCTGTGGTCTTATATATACTAGCCTTTTGTGCTCTTCCACTTTTGTCTGATGTTCCTAACCCTTCTTTTAGACTTTCTTAGCATTTTTTGGATTCTTATGGACACACACACACACACACACACACATATATATAATTTCTGTTTTAATTCCTTTTAGGGTTTTTAAAAACTTTTTTTGTTAAGATTTTAAATGATTTTTAAACTTGTTGCCTTGGAACTAGAAAGGAAAACACACTATAGGTCCTGCCACTTGCCAAGGGACCCCAGACCACTGGGACTGAACACACACATCCTGCCTCCCAGGAATAACTTTAAGACAAGGAGACTCATCTGGTCTCACCCATCTGAGAAATGGGTGTCTAAAACAACAGTCTGCTCCAACTGTCTGCTGTCCTTGGACTCCATAAGCAACGGGAAGGAACATCCTGGACCCATCCATTGGCCAAAGGAACAAGAGCTACAAGCTGCCATGTAAACAAGGAAAGGGCAGACTGGCCTGAACCAAATATACCGTAAATGCTCTCCTATAACCTGGCTCTTGTGTATTGGCCTTGAAGAACTGATCTCCCTCCTTTCCCATATAAGTGTAACTTGCTCTTTGAGAACCATTTTTCCTTGTGTGTCTTTTGTAAACCTGATGGCAGGGCTTCTCTCTTCCGCTGAGGAGAACTGCTTTGGGAGAAAATAATACACACATACATACAATAAAATTGTAAGGATGTTGTCACTGCAGGACACATGGCTGCCAGAGGTGGTGTTGCAAACTACCATGAGACCACAAAGGGGGCTCTCAGAGCTTTTGGGTCATCAAAACAATGTCAGGTCCTGAGAAAGACAAAGATGGAGATGGGCGAGCACAGCTTCAGCCAGGCTTATTCTTCTATATGCTTAGTTGTTTTATCTTTAACAATACTCTCCACCTGCTTTCCTAGGACAGAAGTTAAACTAACCAGCCTATCATATACAGGATCCTCTCAGGCAGATCCCATTTGAAAAAACTGTGTTACATTGGTGACTCTCCAGTCCACAGGTATGGAGGCTGATCTGACACACAAGCTCAGCGATTTCACATTTGAGTTCTTTGAGAACTCTCAGATGGCAATTTGTTGGTTTTTATTTTGTCTATTAGTGTTGACCCCCCCCCCCTTACCAATCCCTATTCTGCTTATGGCAGAACTTGTGCCTTACCTGACAATCAGTTAACATTAGCCACATTAAGATTCTTACGATTTCAGAGTTTTAGTACATTTTTAATCCTGCAGTCAAGCTCCATCTTCTCCCTATAATATCTAAATTCTAAAGTATGCCAGGAAGTTCCTAGCTGTAGTTCTAGCCCTGCTCTTCCTCACTCCAGCTGCGATGCTAAGCCAATTTTCTCATTTCAGTGGCTCCAGGCTGTTGCTAGCAGCAGTTTGCAGCATATCGAGGGGAAGGTATTGATTCACGCTGACAGTTCTAGCTTCCCAAGCCCTTTGGGATGGTGTCACTTTAAATGGAACTGCTTTCTACCTTGTCATTCCTTGCAGGGATGGGTATAAATATCTGGTCTCAAAGAAATCACTCCTTGTGCTAGCAGCAGGCAGGTGGATAAATCAGCATAAAACTGGGTAGGCAATATTGCAGATGGCCTTGTTTTTATTGAGGTTTTGGAAGTGGGAAAAGAGGGAAAAGGCACAAAGTAAGTCAAACACACATTACACAGATTGTGCAAATCAAAGGCAGTTTTACAGCTTTAAATTGGCAATATGTTGCCCGATGCAGGAAAATATCTTAAACCCTCAGGCTACAAGCCAAATCCTACACAAGTAAAATTGTCCTAATGAGTTTACATAGGTATGTAAAATTATAATCATACAGTTTTCAAAGATCATTAACATTTCCAGTGGGGCAAAGGTTTCCCTAGTGAATTTCTGTTTTAATTCTACTATATACTGTTATTATATGGGGCTGAAGCCAAATGATGCGAATAAATATTTTCAGGCAAGAGTGTCGCCTTTCTGAGATCAGAAGCTGACTTGAAAAGAGGGTTGCTGCTCACGGTGTTAATTTTTGTCTCTGGGTCAAAAACCTGTTGAATGCAATGGAATAATGTATGTAAAGTTCTTTGGAAACAAAGCTCTCACAGATTGCATTCAACTTTCTTAAACTTTGTCTACACCCTGCCTCTTAGTTTTTACAATTCAGCAATTAATCTGGCAAATGTGAGGATGGGGAGCTGGGGAAACAAAACAAAAACACATGTGAACCAAGAGCATCCTCAACTGTGACGCAAACATATTTAAAAGGTCAGGACTAGCATGTATGCAGTACATAGGAAGTTACACCTTTACCATTATAGAACAAGACGGTGATTTTAGCAACACACAAAATACATTTGATAGCAAGAGTCTCTTTTCACATGTGTTAAGAAATGTACATGCCCATATGTTTCCTGTATTCAGAGTGCCCCAAATTCTGTATTAAGAAACATAACAGCATTTACTGTTCCTAAAAGCACCTTCAGGATAAAATCTCTGCACTGGCTCCACAGACATCTTTGAATGAGTTACAATTAACATTTCTGAAGTGGAAAGAAGGAGAAGTTCCAACAAAAGAAGAATGGATTTGAAAGTTACTGGACTATGCTGAGATGGCAAAGTTGACAGCAAAAATAAAGAGATCAAAAAGATGAAATTTTTGTCAAAGAGTGGAGATTCTTTTTGGACTATTTAAGAAAAATTACAGTCAAATGAAATCGCGAGCAGGATTTGAATTCCAGGCAAGGGAAGGAGAAGAAATAAATTACTGTAATACAAGTTACAATATAACGGAAAATAAATGGTAGATATGGCAGCAGATAAAGGATTACAATAGGAGCATCACGGACGTAAGGATGGGAAGTCAAAATGTAAGAAATTATTATATTGAATGTGAACTGAACAATGTCAAATTTTGTATAAAAAAACTAATAAAACATTATTTTAAAACAACAACTAACATTTAGGGTTAAGAATGGCAAGCTCCGGTGAAGTACAGTAGCTGCAGACTGAATCTGATCCCACCAGTCAATCTGATCCCACCAGTCAAGCCCTTTCACCTGTTGGCAAGGCCTCTTGTTTTGTTTTTTAAGTGCAGTACCATTTGTGTGGCAAAACAGCAACTGATAGCATTTAATGCATCAAGTTCCTTAAATTGGTCCCTAAAATATATATATATTTGGGGTAACTTGAAGCAGCTGTGAGCTCCTAAATGAGTTTGCCCTTTAGCCACGTACTGAACATGCCCCCAAAGGAGCAAATTTATCAGTGACCGATTAAAGCAGACATTCCTGGGACTGATTTGGCTGTAACCAGTTTGAGCTTCCCCTCAGGAGCCAGCTCTGCACCTTGCTCTTCCAGTCAGCTGTCCTGCTCCAGATTTGGCTAACATTAAGCCGTGGCTATATTAGATATCCACACAATAAAAATGTAACTTTTTCGAGATCTCGACATTTATTTCTTTGGCTAGGTGCTATCTGCAAAGAAATAAATCCTTCCAGAGACATTAAAGTGCTTATGAGAAAAAACAAAACTTCTCATTCCTCCCAGAGATTTCTCACTTTGAGGACTGGCTCATATATACAGTGGGACCACAGTCACCAGAACTCCATTCAATGGGACTCTACAACAGTTTACCTATATCAGGGCTTATGAAGTCCTAAACATTGTGTACAGTTTCGTTTTTTAAGCAAGAGAAGCTAAAGTTCATTTTCTTATGTTAGATTTAATGAATTGGAACAGCCGTCTAAAACTAGTCAGGCTAGGAGAAGACACAGGTGAATAGGCTTCGGAAGTGGTCCTCCCTGGTTCTCCCATTCAGATGATGAAAGCAGCTGTGTTCCAGTAAGTTTCTCATATACAGTACTTTATTGCTTTGTAACAATGCCTCCAATGAAAGGGTTTAATGACATCCAAAAGTGCTCCTCTCAAGACACTCAAAGCGAGGAAAGTGAGCACATACTCTTGCTTGGCCTGAGTGTGCTCCTTTCCACTAAGGCTTTCCTTCCTGGGCTTTGAAAAACTAACAGAAAACTATCCACCTGCAAGTGGCCTGCCTTCCTCCGTCAAGACATTCCTTCCTGGCTTCCAGGCAAGGCATTCCATTTCCACTGTGCCAGATCATATACTAATCCAGACGTGTATGTGTGTGTGTGTACACACACACACACACACACACACACGAATTTAGTATTTAAAGATGTATTATACGGCAATGCAAGCATTATCTTCAACTACTAAATGAAGCAAAAAAACAATCATTTGAGGATTTCAAAGTGCTCAATAGTAGCATCACTACATCACTGATCATGATTTACCCATTTCAAAGGGTTTTTATATATTGGACCTGTTTTAGGCTCCCAATAACTTCTTTAAGCATACTGTCTGTTTGAACTGATGAGGAAAGGTCAAAGGACAAACCAGTTAAAAGAGGACCTGCACACAAGAAGGAAAACCTACGAATCCAGATTTTTATTTGAATCTGCAAAAGCATTTCCCCTTACAGTGCAATTCTATGCACACTTACCAAGGTGTGTCCCTCTAATTTCAACGGGATTTTATCCCTAGTAAGCATGCAGGCTTCCAAGTTCTCTCCTTTCTGGAGTAGTCTGACCCTAGCACTCACTGCACTCTTAATGCAGCTTCTCTTAATGAGAAGACAAAAGTTTCCAAGCACTTGGGGCCTTCGAAGCAGGATAGCACCACTTTTCAAATTCAGGAGGAGGGATTTTCTGAAAGACACTACAACCTCGCAGCAGTTTCTCGCTCTGACTGCGCTTCTGTCCCTGAAAGAAAGGGACAACTTTCACAAGCCTTTCTACTTTTCCAACAACATTTCCCCCCAGTCTCCCCAGCCCTCCTGCATTTGTTAGGAGCAAATGGTTTTGAGCAAACCAAAGCGCATCAGCTACAGAAGGGGTGGGAGGGAGGAGAGCTGTCTGCTCCTTCCCCCTTTCCTTACAGTGTGTTTGCATATTGGGAGGAATGTAAAGCTCAGAAATAGACCTCCCCACTAAAAGGAAACTATGATGAAAAATGATAATGTATAAAATATTGTGAGCAGGGTGGGCAAAAGGAAAGTGGAATGTGTTGCTGCTGTTCACTTGTTAATAGGTGGCCATGAAACACATACAAGCTCAGCCTAGCCTTCGGAACTGGAGCTGAGTCCTAGGCAAGAGTATTGTTTTCTCAACAGATGCCAGGAAAATGTGCTTCTCCCGAAACCAAAATGCTACCTGGGAAAAACAAAATGCTAGCAGATCTTCTGCGACTTGAGTAAAAAGTGAAACAACCAAACATCAAGTCCCTGCCTAAGAACATGAATATCGTTAGACACAAAATGTAGTAGAAAAATGCCTTCTAGTCTGTGAGTCTAGATTGATTAAAAAGAAGTTGATCCTGTGAAGATTGGTCCCTTTATAAAGTGGAGCATGAGCTTCAGTTAGTCTTGTAGAAACCTGCCAGCACAGATAAGCTTCCTACTGCTGTTTTAGTTTTGCTAAAAACGATTTGGAGCAACTACTGTGGTTGGCAAAGATCTCCTAACCTCGACCATGTCTTCCAGTTTTCTGCCTCAAGATAGGAAACCAAAGAAGTCTCTAAAGCACCAAGAACTGCTAGCCCAGATGCCATTGACCATTGTTACCTAGTTAGTGTTAGGCACAGATCTGTTTCAAATGTGGAGCTCGGTTCAAGACGGAAGCTCTCAGATCTTCACCGAGTTGAGAGAGGCAACGATACCTGCTTCATATCTAGGTGTAATCTTGAATCCGTTAAGACTGAACCCATTGAACACGATGACTGCAGGAGCAGTAGGAAACCTTTCAATGGCCACACAACCACCCTTGTCTTGCAATCACAGGTGATGATTGGAAAAGCTTTCAGGAGCTCCCATCTCAGGCCTCAAGTCTCTTCTCTCCCATTTAAATACAGGAGGGAAAAGGGAGCCAATGTAAGTATCAATATGCTTGAAGCATGGAGGAGATGGCACAGAGTGGATTATTGTGCAGCTCAAATTGCTCCTTTCTAAAGGGGAGGAAGAAATGTCTAGCGCTACACACAGCCGCACACTTCTGAAAAAGGAAAAGCTTCCTTGTAAACACAAAGCTGTAGTCCCTTGACAAGTAGAAACCAAACACAGATTGAATCCAAATTAGCAACACCTTCCTGACTTCCCTTCCATTTAACCAGCAAGACGCAATTGCTCCTACCGTTTTTGTAAGGCAAGGGTAAGCCCAAATCAGAATGAGTTATCTCACCTTGATGACTCCTTCACCAAAGGTATACATGACAAATGGCACTGAAATATCCAAAAGAGGCAACGTAACAGGTCAACAAAGGCAAGTTAAAATAAAAACTTTTAAAATGAAGTTGTGAATCCACCATTACTGTGATTCAGTCGCCTTTTAAATCAGTTGGTCTGTTATTACAGGTCTCTGCAGTCTTGCTCTGTTATATAGAACCATGCCTGATCCCCTTTCTGCATTACCCCAAGATTAAAATCACACACAATGCAGAACCACCAGGAATTGCATTGACAGCAAAAAATGACACATCTTGCAGTACTTCACATTTCCCCCACTAAATAGTTAACAATGCCTCTCCACAATCAAGTTTCACCAGGGTAGCATAAAATCCAAGCTTAACAAACAGACCACTTCCAATAAGTCAAGGGAAAAACCTGCAATAGATGCAGAAGAGAGCTGGCTAAACGTTGGGGCCGCTTTTAGGATTCACAAGTGCTGTCAGACAATGCGTATCCTGCAAATGCCTTACTTGTCTATAAATCAGGAGCAGTCTACATCTGCCAGAGCTGTCACTGACAAGCAGTCATCCTATTTGCAAGAGCTGTCAACGGTGTCCTACTTTTCTCCTAAAAGCAGACACAATAGTACGGTTCTTCTGCTCACTGATTGCTCCTGGCTTTTAGGTTTGTTCAGATAAAGCTGGCTGGATAATTCATGAAGGACACAGCATTTAACAGAAGTGTTTTATCCATCACTTGATCATTTGAGTCTCTTCATCAGCATCATAGAACTCTTCATCTTCACTTCCACTCCCAGCTGAACTATCGTGGTCAGACTAGAAGGAAAATGAGAGTCTGATATCAGAGCTATCCTTCACCATGTTTCGAGTAAAATGTTTCAGATGATTAATCTCAGCCTTGCAAGACTATTCACTAGGTCATTTTCAGTTTCCACCAAGCCTTTATAACCCAGCTTCAACCCAAACCTCCATATGGGATAATACTAAAGTGGATCATTCTCTTTATCAACTGTTTTGAAGCTGTCCCTCCACCCCCAAATCAAGGAGTGTACAAATCTTACGAAATAAAGAAATAAAGCATAATGAGTGTTTTCAGCACTCTATAAAGAACATTAACATGTCATTACTATTGCTGCAAACAGGACAACCTGGGCAACACGATTATGGCACCTTTGAGGCTCGCCTCTTATCAAGAATAAGAAGCCACTGACTTTTACAAAGCACAGAGCAGGCAAGTGACTGCATTTCTTCCTGAACTGGCTATCACTTTGTACTCTTAAGTCAAGGGAGAGAGGCGCTCAACCTATCTGGCACCACTGATTTCCTCTTCCAAAACCTCCACAGCTATGATCGACAATAAAGTGGCAGCCAAACCCTGCTGCTAGTCAATTTTGCTTCCTTCATCGCTGACAGAGGGTTTGGGGCTCGACCTTTCTGTTTCTTGTTGCTGAGTAGGACAGGACATTTGTAGACACAATAAGCATGCCAGAACACTGTTCCTTCACGGCGGCTGTTCCCCTTCCTCTAGGAAATGCTGTCTTCACATGTTCAATAGCATGAGGGCCTCCTGTTGTTTCTCTCCAACTCAATATTCTTTTGTGGGGGGGGCAATGAGAAGAATGAATAGGTAACCGTTGCTATCCTTTGAAATAAAGGAGGAAGCAGGCTCTGATCTAAAGCTGGCAGCCAGAGAGAAAGTGGCTATTTGTCTGGGATGTAGTTGTGAGAGGTATGTGCTGCCCAAGCCGGCATAGATAAAACTCCAGGCTCGCTGCCAGTTACAATCTTTTTGATTTATTTACAAAGTTCAAAAGAGCATTTCCAGAGCTTCAAAGCATGTCCGACCCTGTCGGCAAAGATGCCTCGTCTGGTTTCTTTTTACGTTTTCTTGCCCAACATGCAAGTCGGCGGAAACCCCGCCTCTGATTTCCTCTGTTCAAAGCATAACTAGTTCCGGGCTCAGCCTCCCCCCTCCCTCCCTGCCTCTTCTTCGCTGTCAGACGACAGACTACTAATTATCTCTTTTGGCTCTCTATAAGTGCTGGTCTCTCCCCACAGCTCTTTCGCTGTTTGCCTCTCCCTGACAGTAGTCAGTTGCCTAGCACTTAACATATCTAAAAGCTACAACTAAATATTTAATATCTTCTCCTTGGAGCCCATCTGCAGTGGCAGACACCACATAACCCTAAAGAAGGTGGGACTTCCTATTCAACTTGACAGCTTTTGTAACAGGAGGGGAACTGGCAAAGGTTCATACCCGTGAGCTTTCCATTGTTTGCAGCGAAACGGCTTCATCTCCTAGCCGCCGATATGAGCAAACCTGTAGATCAGATATCGTCTCCAGCAGGGGGCTATTTAGGGTTTCTGGCAATAACAGACTCAGAAGACCAGCGAACAAGCCCGCCACGCCAAACACAATATATGGCAGAGACCCTTGCACAGATTTCTGTAAAAAAAGAAAAGAAAAGAAAGAACAAATATAACAAACAGCAGCAGTAGTAGCTAGGGCTCAAATATGTTCATGTTAATCGTGAAATGATGGTGCAAGGACATAACAGCTATTCAACCTTCTTTCAGCTGTTCTGCACTGGCAAAGCACACGTTGGGCCACTTACAGGCTGCAACTGCGGCAAAACAACCACACACAACAGCATGAGAATTTGCAGCGACCCACTAGAGGAGTCACATCTTCAACACATCTACTGGTCAAAAAAGGTAAAGGGACCCCTGACAGTTAAGTCCAGTCGCAGACGACTCTGGGGTTGCAGCGCTCATCTCGCTTTACAGGCCGAGGGAGCCGGCGTTGATCCGCAGACAATTTTTCCGGGTAATGTGGCTGGCATGACTAAGCCGCTTCTGGTGCAACGGAACACCGAAACCAGAGCAGCACACAGAAACACCATTTACCTTCCCGCCGGAGCAGTACCTATTTATCTACTTGCATTTTTTGGGCGTGCTTTCGAACTGCGAGGTTGGCAGGAGCTGGGACCGAGCAACGGGAGCTCATCCCATCACAGGGATTCGAACCACCAACCTTCTGATCGGCAAGCCCAAGAGGCTCAGTGGTTTAGACCACAGCACCACCTGTGTCCCTATTGGTCATGTGAACTGACCCCAAATTATGCATGCAGAGACAACAAAAATTGGGTAGTGCAAGAGCACAGTTACAAAAACGGAGTCTGGAGAGAGGGATAGTATGGAAGAGAGGGGAGACAGAAGAACCAGACTCAGACATCTATGCCCTAGCCACACCTGTCAGGGTCAAGGGTGGAAGGAACAGAACTCTCATGACAGACTATTACAAAAACTCTCTGAAGGAGCTCTGGCTCCCACTCTACTCTCACAAATATGAACAGGGAGAGCTGCCAAAGAGAGGCAGTAGAACAGTCAACGAAGCAGCCACATTGGGGAGGGTGCGGGGCTCAACTGAGAGAGCACACACTCTCACCAATGTTTCCGGTTTTAAAAGATCTCAGATGGCAACATTCTTGAAGAGCTGCTGGCAAGCACAGCAGGGAGAACTTGACTAAATAGGCCAATGGACTGAGCCTTTACAAGGTGGCTTTGTTCATCTATTTTCAACAGGTCCACCAGCTGCAGGTGGCCCACCTGAATGCTTAGGCAGCTCTGCACTGCCTTTTCCCTCCCCTATCCCTTTCTCTCTCACACATCTTTATTCACAGGAAACTATCAGTGTGACGCGGCAGCTAAAAAAGCCAATGCAGTTCTGGGCTGCATCAATAGGAGTATAGCATCTAGATCAAGGGAAGTAATAGTGCCACTGTATTCTGCTCTGGTCAGACCTCACCTGGAGTACTGTGTCCAGTTCTGGGCACCACAGTTCAAGAAGGACACTGACAAACTGGAACGTGTCCAGAGGAGGGCAACCAAAATGGTCAAAGGCCTGGAAACGATGCCTTATGAGGAACGGCTAAGGGAGCTGGGCATGTTTAGCCTGATGAAGAGGAGGTTAAGGGGTGATATGATAGCCATGTTCAAATATAGAAAAGGATGTCACATAGAGGAGGGAGAAAGGTTGTTTTCGGCTGCTCCAGAGAAGCGGACACGGAGCAATGGATCCAAACTACAAGAAAGAAGATTCCACCTAAACATTAGGAAGAACTTCCTGACAGTAAGAGCTGTTCGACAGTGGAATTTGCTGCCAAGGAGTGTGGTGGAGTCTCCTTCTTTGGAGGTCTTTAAGCAGAGGCTTGACAACCATATGTCAGGAGTGCTCTGATGGTGTTTCCTGCTTGGCAGGGGGTTGGACTCGATGGCCCTTGTGGTCTCTTCCAACTCTATGGTTCTATGATTCTATCACTACAGCTTTATCATGTGCAAGGGGAGTTTAGGACTCTTCAAAGTTGCATCAGCCAGCAAAAGTCGTGTCTACCCCAAAGCCAACTGTCCCACGCACCTGGCAATTCAAGAATTCTGAACGTCGGAGTCAAAGCCAAACTGAACCCACGCAAAATGTACTTTGCATTTTGCTACTGCCCAGTTTGGGGGAAAGCGTGGGTAAGAGAAGGAAAAATCGGTACAAACCAAAGACGGAACAAAAGGAGCGATGATCCCACCAATTCGGGAGAACATGGAACAGGCTCCCATTCCAACATTCCTGCGGGAAACAAAACAGTTACATTTACATGAAGCATTTTTCCTGTAGGCTTAGGACTAAGCTTTCAAGTCCTGAAGAGTACCTGCAGATTGCTGAAAATATCTATTTAATAAGCCTGACAATACTCAGCAATGGCGAACACTGCCTGCCCACAGGGAAGTGGCCCCAGGTGGTTCTCTATGAGGCTACACAGCCCTCCTCACCCCTATGATTGTGGTACATTTCAGTGGTGAGGGCTTTAGGCAACTTGTAAAGACATTACTTAGTCAAGCATTTGCTTAACTGACTGGAGGAAATGGTCTGTCACTCTTGTGGTGCTATGATGTACTTTTGATGTATTGCTGTGGTTTAGTTTTTTATATTGTATTATTATGCATTACCAATTTTTACATCCTGCTCTGGGATAATTTTAATAAGATTGGGCTATAAATCACCTAAATAAATATATATATTATTGACTGAGGTGGATTCAAGGGAGGCTGAAGGAGAAATAGAATGAATTATTTTGTGCAGGGGTAGAATGTTGCCTGTTTTCTAATGAAAAATCTGCTTTAGATGGCTGTTCAACCTCGGGACTTCCGGGGTGGCGCCATCGGCAATGGCGGACTCCCTCTGATCTGGAGGGACTAGCTCCACGCGAAACGGGTCTTTTCCGCTACGGCGAAGCGGGGACCCTTTCAAAAATCACAGGCGGATGAAGCCTGTGACCATTGGACTCGGCGGGCACCTTTAGCGCCCCCCCAACCCGCAAAAGAACCCACTAACGGGCTCCGGAGCGAAGAGGGGGAAGTGGCGCGGTGCTGAGAGTCAACTGCTTCTTCCGTGGAGCGAAGCCGCACAGCCGTTGCCGGAGAGCGCTGCCTGGGACAATTTGGCTTCTAAAATAATCACCCGTGAGTACTTAAATTTCGGACAATTGGACTTTAAATAAGGACTTGCGAGCAGAAAGGAAAATTGGACTTAAAAGTTTACCTCAATTTGGCACTGAAACGGGAAGGTCTAAACAGGAAGTCAGCCTTCCGTTTCTTGTAGATAGATTAAAGCAAAGACATGGCAAACTAGAGCTCAGAAAATCGCTTGTAAAAGATTAACTTTCATCATTTAAAATTGTTGAACCCCCCTTCGGAAGCAGGAGAAGAGGGGGATTTTTCGGACTGTTTAAACCTGCAGAAGTGAGTGTAAAGTAAAGTAACTTTCCACCGTCCTGATCCTGGAGCGGGGTGTCAGGACTGACGTTTTTTGAAGCTCATTGACCAGAGACAAACGTTTTTGGCAGATAGCGATAAGAAGAGAAACATTGATTCCATTGTTCCCCTTCACATTTTTAAGGAACAAATATTGACAAAATATCTGAAAAAGGAAACTTTGTTGTTAGACTTGTCTTTAAAAGAAAGAACAAATAGAAGTTTTCCCCCTAGAGGGAGACTGTGAAACTGTAACCAACTCCGGGGAGCTAGCAGCTGTTACAGATTACAATCGTGGGAATAGACTTCTGACCTTGCAGGACAATGTATTCAGAAGCTCTGTTGCGTGCTTTCTGTAAAACAAATGCCCTACTGGAACAGCTACATGAGAAGACGGACTTGATGACTGATGCGATCAGAAATTTTGAACAGGCAGTGGGAAATTATATGGAGCCCACCCAGGAATTAAATCAGGAGTGTGCCCTGACAGAACAGATGAGGGAAGAGGATGTTGCTGAATCTTGGGCGCCAGAGATGAAGGGAGCTGTGGCCCAGCAGGAACATGAGCTTTTGGACTTGACAAATGAACTTGGAAAAAGCCAGATTTGGAAAGATAAAGTTTGGTTTGGTTTGGAAATGGGGGGTTGGATAGACCCCCCTATGCAGGGATGTTTGGACTTTTCAAGTCTGGCAATGGGCCGTGAGATGTTTGGGGTTGTGGGGGCTCTTAATTTTGGAGGGATTTTGAAACATGTTCTTAAATACCACATGGAGTTTAGTGTGGACTATGGAAAAGGGGCTGATTTGTCGAGAAGGGTCAAAAACATTGTTAAGCTGGAGTTCCCACGAGTGAAAGGAGCAGGAGACAAAGGAAAATACAGTTATAAATATGAAGAAGAGCTGCGGAAGGGACATGGAAGAGACTTAAGGGCCTCGGATACAAGGTTACCAGGTTAATGCGCTAGATCGATGGGATAATAAGAACTGACAAAACCCGGGACCAGGAGGAAGGGACGCTGGATGAAGATTGGATTGTTTTTATTTCTTTTTTTTTACTACTAGGATTGCTTTATAAAATTGATGAATGTTAGAAAAATGTTGGAACGAAATTACTTGGCTTTAGCAAAAATGTTTAAAGAATTATGTAAGAATATTATGGTTATGAGAAGTTGGTAAAAATAAGATTTAAGTTTTAAGCTTTAAGGTTCTTTATAGTAAGATAAGATTAAAATAGATTAAGGTAATGTAATGACAGAATATTATGAAATATGGAAAGGATTTGCTGCGACAATTAACAACTAGGATACAAAAAAGGGAGGAGGAGGAGGTCAAAGAAAGAAGGTAATGACAGTTGAGGATTTGAGAATGATGGATTTGTTTTTGAGTGTTTGTGGTGTATTTTTGTTTTTTGAATTTGTATTGTTTGATGTGGTTTGTTTTTTCTTTGTTTTTTCTTTCTCTTTTTCTGCTTTGTTCTCTTTTGTAATTCTAAAAATTTTCAATAAATATCATTTAAAAATATAGATGGCTGTTCAACCTCCTGGCAGAGAAATTCTGCTCTGCCTGAATCCTTTGCCTCTGAAGACGGTGCCTAGCACAGAAAATGGTGCATAGAATGCCTCCCACTTCCACATCAGTTACTCCCAAGTCACCACATATGGGAGATAAGCATCATTCTCCTTTGAATGCTGCTGAGCTTTCCAGAAGTTTTGCATGAGTTCTGCACGTTCCCTGGCATGGAAGGACTCAAAAGCAGACTTGATAAGAGATACACCCCTGATGGCAGCAGGAATTGGCTTCCCAGTACAGTGGAAGCTGAAGCAGCTCCACCTGATCTGGAGCAGAATGAAAGAGTTTGCAGTGGAAGCTGCCAGTGGACGGCTCAGCCACAGAACTGGAAGGCGCCTTTTTTGCTTAAGGCTGTTTGACCCGTGGGACACGCTGTGTCCTCCTCTTCTTTTTTTAACAGCTCCTGCTTCTTGTGTGACCAACTGAGCCACAAGCAAAAAAGAAGCCATTTTTTTAAAAAAGGGAAAAGGCCGTAAAACAGAAGGAGAAAGTCGTTTGTCACTTTTTAAGGAAGAATAGCCAATGTTAAAATGAGGAGGGAAACTGAGTTCTAAGAGAGGTTGAACAGAAGCTCAGTCCCAGGCAAAGGCAAAGGAACATACTTGGGAGAAGCCTAGAGGATGGGATACAGCACAGAGAGTTAGTCACATGTTCCTTGCCTTCCTGGGTAGCAGAAGGGCTTAACACATTCCTTTCTGAATGCCTTCTTAATCCCAGAGAAACAACACACTCCTTTAGTATTTCTGTATGGACTCCTCGGACTAAATAATCAAGGTGTGGGATGTATCATAACTGAAGCTGTCAAATATAATATTTCCTGTTGCCTAGAGTGGACACACAGGAGAATGTTGCTCCAGATGGGAGGACTTCCTGTCATACCTGCTCTGGAGCCTCCTCCCCCCCCCCCCCCGTGTGTGACCAGGTAGATGGGTGGGACTCCAGCAGGCCCTACAAAAGGGCTAGCGACGCAGCCATCTTCCTCTTTTCACCTTTTACCATTTTCTAATTTCGGATTCCTCTGCTGGCTCTTAGCCAGCAGCACAAGGCTCATTCGTACAGAGGATGGAAGCCACAAGGTAGAAAGTCTGAGGCCTAGCTCAGACGTCTTTTCTCTACAGATGTAACTGTAACTACAAGATAAAGCCTGCCTTCAGGATACTACTGTGAACTGAAAGTACCATTACTTTTAAAGAAGACTGTCATGTTATTATTCTTTTTAAGAGGGAAATAAAGGGGAAATTTACCAGGAACAATCCGGACTGGACAAGCCAGACTGGACTGCTTAACTTAAATGATTCTCACGAATCCATCAGCTTGCTTCCAGCAATGTGCAAGGGAAGATGCTCTGCTCCTTGCTCACTAGCATGACTGAGGAGGGATAATATTCAATCAGTATAACCTCTCCTACTTTCCTCAACATTCCCACAAAAGGAAGCTAACATTCAAGTGAATTTCTTTGGCTAAACAGGGATGTTCACATTTAAATTTTGCATTTGGGAATGGGGAGAAGTCGAATTCTCATCTGGAAGCCCCTCAGGGAAAGGACCTGCAGTTATAGAGATACTGCAACCCACCCTAAAAACAAGGACCTATGAATTTAAACTGAACGGTGCCTCCCAAGAAGAAGAAAAGTCAGGTGGTCTCACATAGACAACAGAAGCCACCAAACTGAACCTGTCTTACCTGATCACTGTAGGATAAAGCTCTGATGTGTAGATATAGACAATGTTAAATGCTGCACTGATTGTCAGTTTTCCCAGTAAAGACAATGAGCGGCTGTTTACAATGGCAAACACTCCTGTAGCTGTTGGGGGAGAAATGCAAAGCTTGTAAAGATGCTGTAGTAAGCAAGGATGGCCTTTTGGCTTTAGGCTGAAAGTTGACCCCCCCCCCGCCCTCTTGCTAGGCAACAGGAAAACCAGCCTGTTCCCATTTTATCAAAGGAGGAGGAGTTTCAGGGAGCTTGTTTGACAGAAAGCACACTCTGGTCAAACCGCCACCTGGCCTTGTACTGGGGAACTAAGAGAAGCGCCATTTAATGTTGTGTTCACAGAAGAGGAACGGTTCCCTTCATGGTGTCCAACTAAGATTTACTCAGAAGAGACCCAGTGAACATGACCAAGTCTTCTGCTGCGGGCTCAAAAGGAGACACTCTTAGAGAGGCTGGACTTAGGAATCAGATGGGTTACATTTTTAACTACTTCTCAAGCTTCTAAGACCAGTTATTTATTGTGTGTCTGGTTCCAGCTGCCCAAGGCAAAACTCTCCATATAAGCAGCTGGAGATTGCTGCTCCCCTACAGATTTGAGAAAGCCTTCACTGCAAGATGCTGGCCTCCTGCCGTCTGCTCCATAGTTAAAAGAACAACACTTTTACCTCTCTTTTCTGGAAGAAACATGACGATAAGAGAGGCTAGTCCTCCCAGGAACAAAAATGCTGCAAGCGTCCGTTTACGGCCAAACCTGAAGAACCAGAAAGATAGAGAACAATGAAAATGCAAAGCAAGTAGAAAACAAGCTCCCTTTACATCCAGGGCTTCAGTGCAGGAAGCCTATTACTCTCCAGTCAACAAAGTTATTCCAGATTTTTGAAGAGAAGCAGAGATAAAAACAAATATCTCTTAGAATGTCAAAATCATCTCAGGCACCTATTACCCAAATTCCTAATTACCACTTGTCACCATCATCATCATCAACAAAAACATTAAAAGGAGTCACCAGGAAAGAAAATTGAACTAGGATTTCTTATTAGGTTTTGTTTTGTTTAGGTCTTAACTTGAAACACCCACTACGGGTGTTAAATTAGGAGAGCAAACCTAGGAAGACTTGCGCTGTCACCAATTACTATCGTTGGGAGTCTTCATAAACCTACTAGATCTTCTATATTCCATTCCCTTTGGGGCCCATTTATAGTAATTCCTCTATACCTGTGCATGAATGCTTCATGAGATATACTACTTCATGCACCATCATGTCAGGTTGTCATATCTTGTGCCACATAATGCCAAGTGATGTGAAACATCATGTCATGTCACATCGTGAGATCATCATGATGCCAGGTCTTGCAATATACCTCATGTGACGAGACACACCACAACACCACCTCAAGAGATACATGCATGCCGCGTACACAATATTTCAGTCTTTAAAGTGCTACAAAACTCTTTGTAGTGTTTCCTGCAATGGACTAACAAGGCTACCCCTCCGGAGCTTGACAAAAAAAGTTTTTCATGCACGTTGCATTCCTGCATGTATTGGTTTACTTTTTTATGCCCAGTATCTTCTTATTCACTTTTCCTTGGGGATCGATCTCAATTATTTTCAAATGAAGAAATGCAAGCGCCTCCCACGCTAGAGGAAAATAGTATAGCATTGCTTACTGCAGAAGAACAGAGTCAGGCTAAGTAGCACACACAGCAATGAAACTGATAATCATGAGAAAGATGACCAGGCTAGAGGGCTGATTACATGAATAGCATCTCCCTAGGAGAAGGGGCATACGTGCGCAGACCCGCAGAAGAGGGAATCTCTTGAGATGATTTCTTGCCTCCCCCTTCCTCTGGATGGGACAGGATCTTTCGAGATCTCTTCCTGCCACCTGCTTTTTCTAATTCTCTCCTTTCCCCCTTCTCACCAGGAAGTATCCACAACCTCACCCACTGCTGCTGCCACTCAAAAGAAAGAAAGAAAGAAAGAAAGAAAGAAAGAAAGAGGTAAAAAAGAAATTTATCTAGCATTCCAACACTCACCATTTTTTGCCAATCAAGTAGATGCAGAGAGGGTATGCCGGAATCTCTATTAGCCCAGAAAGAGCCAGGTTGGCATAGACACTGCCACCCAGGTCACCCACATTGAGAGTAAGACCATAATAAACCAAGCTGCATACGAACCTGTAGCGAGTAAAAAGGAAGAGATGTAAAATGCAAGGTTGCTTCTTCTACTTTTTTGCCTATAGAGTAGCTGTAACCTTGAACTCAGAGAAGGATGTTATGCTTTAGGCATGGAACTTATTGACTGGGGCTCCTCAATATTTATTTATTTATTTATTTATTTATTTTTATTTTTATTTATACCCTGCCCTCCCCGGCCAAGACCGGGCTCAGGCAGGCTAACATCAGGTATGAAAACAATTGATTAAAATACAACTTAAAAACACGATTAAAATACTACTTAAAATGCAGCCTCATTTCAGTGGAAGCCCAGATCAAAAACTGTTTGGGGAGAGGAAACGTCAAATCTTCACCAAGGCCAACTATCCAGACAGGTCCTCCATGGGCCAGAAAAGCCAGGGAAGTCCCCAGAGAGGGGTTCCATCACAGAAGGAAAAGGAAAGAGGGGGAGGGTATCAGGCTGGTTCCAAGCCAAAGGCCAGGCGGAACAACTCTGTCTTACAGGCCCTGCGGAAAGAAATCAGATCCTGCAGGGCCCTGGTCTCACGAGACAGAGCGTTCCACCAGGCCGGAGCCAGTGTTGAAAAGGCCCTTGCTCTGGTTGAGGCTAATCTGACTTCCTTAGGGCCTGGGACCTCTAGGGTGTTGCTATTTATGGACCTTAAGGTCTTCCGCAGGGCATACCGGGAGAGGCAGTCCCATAGGTACGAGGGTCCTAGGCCGCAAAGGGCTTTAAAGGTCAAGCATAATATCAGCATTACAAATGCATGATCAGGGCAATATAAATACGAATTACATTTTGGCATTGGGTATCTAAAGCATTTCCAGGCAGGGTTTTTTGTTTTTTTAGATTATCAGGTACACTGAATCAGCACCCAGGGACCCTTGAGTGATCCTTGCTAGTCTAAATGACAGGCTTGAAAATAGCAGACCAGTGCAGCTAAAAGTCCAGAAAAAGCACACTAAACATCCACACACCCTGGCACCACCTTCCTTCGGTGTTCTCCAGTTGCCTTCCATTGCATGCTTTCTTTACAAGCTCCTAAAGCCAACCTTTCCATTCAGATCACTGAACCTCCAAGTCTTATTTCTTTCATTAAACAAAACAAAAAAGGTTCTGCTTTGATCCAGACAACATAAACTACATTTGTACATGTCAGTGGTCTTCCAGCTATCTAACAAAGAGACATTACTCAAACTGTCTTGTAATATTCGTATTAAAATGTCAAGCCACATGGAAAATGTGCTCACAAAATGATTTTTACTCTACCATTCAAGGACCACTTGGTCTTTGTGTAATTATGTACTAAAATAATCCCACAGGCTCTGATCTTCGATATTCTACGGTTTTTTTGTTCTTGTAAAAAATATTTAAAACCATAAAACTCCAAATGGATTTTGCAGCCTGTTTTTTAAAAAAAGAGTTTGGGGCTGTAACAGCCACATATTTCCCCCCAGAAAGACAGAACATGCCTATCGTGTTGTATTTGAGCAGTACAGTAGTAGCAATTTCAAAATCAGATCAAAAGATAGTGTAAGTACCAGATGAACATCATGATCAGAGTACGTCCCAAAAGGATCTTGTACCGGAACAGGTCCAGGATGCTACTGGTCTCTTTATAACTCCGTTCAGTAGGGAGTTTAAGTGAAAAAGTGCACTTTGGTTTGCGGTTCCTCTTTGCAATGAGGTAGAGGGAATCTTCAGCTTCACTCAGCCGTCCTTGTGAATACAACCAACGAGGTGATTCAGGAATGAATCTACAAAGGACAAAAAGAGAGAAAACATTCCCCAGATGGCGTTAGAGTCTTTAAGCAGAGGTTTGACAATCATATGTCAGGAGTGCTCTGATGGTGTTTCCTGCTTGGCAGGGGGTTGGACTCGATGGCCCTTGTGGTCTCTTCCAACTCTATGATTCTATGATTCTATGACTACTCAATATTGGCACTTCTGGTAAAAAAGAAAAAAGTACAATCATGAACAAGTTTTATACTGCAAATAGACTTCAGTCTTTGCTGCTTTGCACAGGGATAAACAAGACCAATTTTGTAGGACTGCAGCTCACAACTATGCACTGAATGCAGCCATGTTAAGCTAATTTAGGAAAATTCTGAATGTGCAAACGTAAACTTAATACAGAACTTGAAAAAGCAGTGTGAAAGCAGTGGTATGGAAAAGTATTGAGAATAGCAATTGACAATGACACAGTTCATCTCCCTATTATTCAAAATATGCATATTCTGTAATAATACAAATAATAAATTATCATTGTCATAATATTCTGTAATGAACATGTATTTTTATTTAAAAATTGTAGATTACATATATCAACATTCTCAGTCAGATGCTAAGATTCCTTTTTTCCCTTTTATTGTCAGTGGTATTTGGCCATATATAGACTGAACAAAATATATGCTTCAGTTCAGGACAAGAGTTGGAGATCTAGTATGTCACAAATGGATTTTTCATATGTTTTTCATATGAGTTGCACAACAATTCAGTATATTGGAACACAATTTTAATGTCATTTCAGAAGTATTAGAATATCAGATAACAATAAAGTTTTTGGATTATTAGGTAAGTTATTAAAAGGATGTAATTCTTGAAGACAATATGGAAGTAACAGTAAATTTATTATTTGCAGCAAAGAAAATTTTGCAAAAGTCGGGGGGGGGGGGCTCATTCCCTTCCATTTCAGAATGTGTCAAAAGTATCTGGGATGCTGTGGTGTTATCTGTCAACATACTACATAAGAGAGGCAACACTATATGGATTTTTTAGAGTGCTGGGTAATGGTGATTGTGTTTTAGAACAAGTTTCAGTAGAATATGCATATGTACAATTTATTTACATTATTGTAAAATGATTATTATTTTATTATACTTTTAGATTATAAAGAGATTACTTCTTTCCTTTTTCAAGTATTTCTTTATTTCATAACCTATTATGAATATTTTGACCTACTTAAAGTATTTATGAATTAAACTATGCTTGTAATTACTTATATCTGCAGTAGAGCCTGAGCCTCTTTAATCCCAGGGTCATGGGTTCGAGCCCACATTGGGTGAAAGATTCCTGCATTGCAGGGGGCTGGACTAGATGACCCCCACTGCCCCTTCCAACTCTACAATTCTATTATTTAATTCAGTCTGCAACCCTATGCATACTTACCTTGGAGGAAACCCTGTTGAACGTAATATAACTTATTTCTGAGTAAGTGTGTATAAAATTGCACTGTATTGAAAACCTTAAAACTAGTAGTATGGCCTTTGAAATGATTATTTGGGAAATACATTCTCCCTGAACCTTTGATTTGTCAAGCTACTCTGCACCCAATAAGTCTAGAAACATTTTTGAAGAAGAAATTACGACATTTCATCTAGAGTCTGTATCTTGGGAAAGGCCTTCACATTATTTGTGTTTAGCAATCAGACTGCTGCTAATTTTTGAAGAGTTTAGGTGCCTATGGACTTCCATCCACTGTGCTATCATAAGCAAGGGAGCAACTTCAATTCACCAGGTATGAACTGCCTAAAGCCTCCTGCAATCAACCAAATAATGCTATGTAAAATAAAGCAAAACCACAAAGGGGAAATGTAAAACCTGGGTCTTGTACCAGGAATCACATTGCGCTCAAAGATTATGCATTGTTTGACCATGCTCTATCCTGCCACCAGCGTATAACTGAATGGCGGATGTGCACTAGCACCCCCCCAAAACATACTTGGGCTTCTCCAGATAAAGTTACTGCAGCCTTATTGAAATCATCCATTTTTCATTGCTGCTTGAAGTTTTCAATTTGTACGAGACAAGCATGGGAAACACTTCCAGCCCGTAGGCCAAATCAGGCTGATGGAGGTCCTAATTTGGCCCACAAAGTCATTTCCCCCAAGCCACGCCCACTTGTCATCAGGTGTGGGGCAGCCACAGGTAAAGATGCCTTTGCAAAGGAACAGTGAGGGGCCTTCTAGTGCACTCCCTGTGCCTTTTCAATTTGGTGTCAAATGCAAACCCAACTGGAATCAGCCTCCCACATCCATCATCATGGCCCTGCAGGCTGAATCCCGTTCCCCACCTGCTCAGGTAATTTCATATGTAACACCGATGCAACCAAGACCGTTTGCTAAATACATCCAGTCACTCACTCTCTGTCTCTCTCACACATGTGCCTTTCAACTGAACTCTAAAAAAAAAAAAAAGTAATTTACTTTCAACAAGGAAAAGTCAGTTTTGGTGGACATGTACTTCCTACATCAATCAAGCACCTTCCCTACCACCCAAAATTCCAGAGCAGTTTTGCAACTGATTTTCAAACTTTTTCTCCTCATTTGAATGAATAAGCAAATTTATATGCATCATCAAAAAAAGGGAAAGAAATAAGCAACTTGCTAGAAGCACAAGAGAGGCAAGACTGAAGGCTGATGCAGTGCTCAACTTAAGGTGTGTGTCTGTATATTACAGATGTCAATGCCAGTTTATAATGCAGATGAAATGCCTCTTGCAAACGCTCTTCAAATCCTAAGTCTGTCTTCATCCTAACAAGTGTCCGCCTCTGTGTAACTGAAAGCCTACCTCTAAAGCAGTGGCTACAGATGACATTAGGGGAAAGAAGTCTGAAGCTTACAGCTTATGAAATCTTGGGACAGGTGGCAACTAACTTGGATGATCAGAACTTGGCAGAGTTTATCAGAACATAAAGGAAGGAAGACAAAGCAGGAAAAAGCCACACAATGGCTCTTAAAATGGTGGGAATCTGGCAAGGCAGCAACACTTCAAAGACAGATTTAGGGAGCAGAGTGGATAAAACTAACAAGACAAAAGGTGATGCTGTCGCACAAGGCCAAAGTCAACCCTATGCTGTGTGAACAGGAGCAGTGCTGGCACAATTCTGTAGTATTCCTTTTCCCTTTAGCACTGCTAAAACCACATCCTGAATCTTTCTGTTCAGTTCTGGGGAGCACATGTCAAGACAGACACTGAAAAGGATTCTAAGGACTGTTAAGATGAAAGAGTCTAGAAATATCCTATGAGAAGAGGCTAAATCTATGTCCAGGCTTAGAGAAAGGAGGATCAGGGAAAGTAGAAATCAAACAGCTTAAAATACTTTAAAGGGGTGCAAGAAAGAGAGACAACTACTACTTTTATTCAGCGATAAGTGAACCTTTTCATGAACACCACCAGAACAATTTTAAGGTAGGTAACTTACAGAGACAGGAGGAAGACTACTGTTCCCTCCAGGTTAACCACAACTGCTAGTATTCTCCAGGAGCGAATGAGATATCCTAACAAAGCATACTGGGCAATTCCCACAGCAAAGAAGAGGCCACCAACTGATCCTAACATAAGGCAGACAGGGAAAAAAGAGTTATTGACCATTTAATGATGCTTGCTAACACAAAACAGACAGGCAAAGAAGGCTACCTGAACAAAGATGCAAAGATAAAGATAATTTAAGATGGAAAGAGAAGACAAATTATGCTACAACCTGTTCTTAAAATCACTATTTGTGAGGTTAACAACTTTGCGGGTGACATGGCATGAGCAGAACTGGACTGAGAATTTTAGGCAGTGTAACACATGATCTATTAGGTATGTTATCCTCATCCTACAGAGGCTAAAGTTTGTGCTAGTATTTTAAATGTGTAAGAATCAGAATGCTTAGCATTTTACAACAGAAAATTTGCAGAGCTTTGTGGCTGAAGGATCAATCGTATGCATACAGGGAACACAAACTACTTCACACATTACAGTTGGAGGATACACCATGACCATAACATGCAAGCTAATATTTTTTTTTACCCTGTCTACAAACTGATGGAAGCAAGAGCACGTCTCAGCTGCCAACAAAAGCATGTATGCACATGGTAATCAATCAATCAATCAATCAATCAATTAATCAATGGCTGGATGCATACAGATTACCTGGATGTGCCCGTCAATCTCATAATGTATAAAGCAGTTCTCAAACATGAATTAAAATTTGGATTTGCTGCCAGAATTTTTTTCAAGCTTTTAATATAAAGATCAGTAATTAAATGTTGTACCTGCCAAAGCCCAATAAGCAGTGCCCACACATTCGTTCAGGAGGACAAAAGCCACTAATGACATCCCACCATTCATTACTCCCACCAAGAAGCGAGAGACTGCAAAGAACTCGTACGAAGGGGAGAATCCATTAGCAACAGCAAACAAAATGTCAAGGGCAAAACCTGGAAGGCAAACAAAAATTTCCTTCAGAACATCTCCCAAGAAGTAAATGATGGTTGTTTTTTCCCCCTCTTTTCCCAAAGTTAGCCACTGTGGACACAGTGCAATATTTTAATGCAGTTCTGCTTGGTTGCTCAAGAAAGCACATGTAGTGTTTGTTAATGAAAAATATAGCTGACTGTATCTTACACAAAAGTTCTCTACATATGAAAGGATACGCTGTCTGGTTCGCTTTATGGAAAAGACACACACCCGATGGAGGGAATCATGTTTTACAATTATCCTCTCTCTTTTTAAAAATCAGCAGCTCCCATATCTTTAAATGGATTCTAATTCTGCAATGAATAGTGCATATGATTATCCCATTTTAATAGCCAGCTGCTATCAGGCTTTCCTAGTGGCCATTTTAAAGGCAATTATTTACATTGGGCTTGCCAGGGCTTTAGGAGCTGGTAGCAACAGCCAAAATATCTGAGCCAGGGTGAGGAATGTTGCCATCTTGTCCCCACAGCCCTTTTTGCTGCTTGGGGGCTGCTAAGGAGAGAAAGATGGAGCAGCTGAGGCAACACTTAAGATCAGCAGCCCAGGCAAAGGCAAACCTTGCCTCTTGTAACTGTCATCTGTCGTTAGATGTTCCTGAAGCCAGGGTGTGTGTTATACCATAAGAGAACTGGTAACTATGTTTGTGAGCCTTCAGTTAGAGAGGGTGAACTAATCCCATGTTATTGTTTAAATTTCTTGGATCCATGTGTGAGTAAGAAGGCAAGCTACAAATATTTCGGATAACAAATAAATATTCAGAATATTTGAGTAACAGGAATTTAGCTGTTTTATCTGCTTCCGACAAGTAGGTTAAAACTATAGGGCTAAAAGCATATGGACAGCTTTGCAGTTTCAGACTGAGCCACAAAAGAAACTGCAACAAAATCCTGCAGATCACCACGACCATCTGGAGTTCTTGAAGTAAGGAGCACACATTACTGGAAGAGAAAAGCAGCACAGTGCAAAGCACCACAAGGTCACTAGCCAATTTGACACAAGGGAGATTTCCCCAAAATCCAAATGGGACAACTGGGCCCCAATTAAAACCCATTCATGGATTCTTTTCACAAGAAATTAAAAAAACTCTTATTATCAGCCCATACTGCCCCCTCTCTCTACAAGTCTCCAATGTCCCAGAAGGTGACCAAACCCTACAAATTGTAGAAAGAGAAAGCTACGATGAGATTCCCAATATCTGAAGTGTAGTCTATAGAGTACTCAAATTCATGGCTTTCCTTTAAAATACCTAGACAGAGCAGAGAATACAACTATTCTAAGAAAGACGGAGGGCTTTCCCTTCATCTTTTTCTGATGACAGCTTACCTACAAGGTAGACTTTCTTCCGTCCAAAACGATCTGAGAGCTGTCCAAAAGTAATCACTCCAACAAACACACCACTGAAGAAAAACGAACTAGCAGCGCTGATCTTGTATGATGTATTGCCAATTAAAAACCACTAGGGGGAGAAAAAGCAGAGTTAGGCAGAATCCAACAGAAGGGAAGAGCTTCTTTTTAAAATCCATAAATTATCTTTAGCATTATCATGCACCTAACAACGACAAAAAGTTATTTCCTAGTGTAAATAAAAAGTACTTTTCTCTCCTTACTGATTTATATCTATAGGTAACATTGCATATTTATTGTCCATGTACAACATACAGAAGCTAAACAGGGGTGGCAAAACTTCCGAAGAAAGGCCAGTATTGAGATGCTTCAAGTTTAATATGCATTTCTTAAAAGATCACAGAGTACGTATTATGTGTATTTCTGTACAATGGATAAATGGCAAATGTAACACTCTGGGGTAGTTGGCAGAAGCATTTCCTGAAGGCATACTCTTTATTCTGTTCACTTGTTACTGGCTAATATGACAATTCCAGTGTATGAACTTAATCCATTAAGGTGGGGGCTTTGTAATCTTGTTAATAGGACATGTCTTTTGAGAATGAGTATGTTTAGCACCTCCATTGCCAAAAACTGCAAACAGACATATACTTCATAATTTAGCTTCAGTGCTGATCTTCTCAGAAACAGTGATATGTTTCAGCCACAGTTCTTCTTAGAAATTAATACTTCACAAATGCTACAAACCATATCCTTTGAAGTATGGAATGAACTTATGCAATGCTTGTTGTGAAACAGACTTGGTGAGGAAGTAGATTGAGCTACACTCAGGTTACCATTCAAGCATAGCACTGTTCATGAACCCAGTAAAGAAATAATGATCTTATTCTTCTTTATGGAGTCATAAACTAGTTCCTCCCCTTTAAACACACACACACAATTTCCAGAGAAGTAGTCATGCTAGGTGTTTTTGCAGTAACAACCTTAAAGGCTAGCACATTTATTATGGTATAAGCTTATATGGACTCCAGTCCACTTCATCAAATGAATTAATCTGGTGGTTTTTAGAAAAGTCACAGATGCCAATATCCACAGGACTGGGTATGTTCATCTGATCACAGCTAGACAAAATGATTATGAATGGATCATAAGTCATTTTTATAAGAGCTACATTTGGTTAAGGCTTTACTTTGAACCAACTAGAATGTGACAAAAACAGTGAGCAAACCTTTAACTCTTCTTTTGCCTGGACCCTAAGCAAAATGGCAGGGCAGTGGGAGAGGAAGAGATTAATATTGCAGCCCAAAAGGCTGTGGTCTGTAGCAATCTCAATTTGGGAATGCAGGAAATTCATTTGTTTATCACATTTATATCCCACCTTTTCCAAGGAACTCAGTGTTGTATACATAGTTCTATCCACCCATATTTTATCCTTAAAACAACCCTGTGAGATAGGCTAGGCTGACAGTGGCTGGCCCAAGGTCACCCAGGGAACTTCTTGGCTAAGTAGGATTTCAGCCCAGGTTCACAGACTTAATTAGTCTCTGCTAAGTGCAAGACAGAATTTTGGTTGCACCATGTTCTCTGACCTCTTCCTTCCCATTTTGCTTGTGTTGCTCAGCCTGATTAAGAGAGCTGCGAAAAAGCTTGTTCACCATTTTGGGACATCTTACTTGGTGCATCTTACATTACTGTAGAATTTGGATTTTCTCTCTCTAATGGATCACCTACAATTTTGTAGCAATAATTTAGAAGATTAAGTGCCAAGATCCCCACAACAATCTTGGCTCAATTACCTCAGAGGCTATTGATGTAAAGTTGCTGCTAAAGTGTATGTGTTTCTGAACTTCACTCCCATTGGCCGTCAGGAGCCACTTCCTAAAAGTTCTTTCTTCGCTAGCCGACTCATTACTATGGCTTTTATTTGCAGAGGTCTCTTCAAGGTCCCAGTGGTAAGGAGGCGTTGCCCCCACTAGGGCAATGAGGATTGCTTCACTGGCCACATAGAGCTGAAACAATGAGAAGTAGAATCAAAATCAATGGCAGAACAAACAAGAACTTCCAGACATTTAAATAACAAATATCCTTGATCATATCTACACAATAGCTCAGAGGTTATTTGCCTTTTAGAATGAGAATTGCCAGTATTTCAGGTTTATCTTTACATACTTCAGCTTTGGAAATGTTTCTCCCTCCTTGTCAATTCATAGCAATCCTATGAATGCTCTTTTTGCTTGGCTATACAACCCCTTTGCAATAACCATAATTCCAGGGTCCATCTACACTTCCATTTGTCCTGTGATTTCAAGTCACAGGTCCAAGAGGGGTTTTTATTTGTTCTGCTGCCTTCCCAGGAAAACCTGCTGTTTTACTGCTAAATTGGAACAAACCCAATTGATTCTGGTTCCGATTCAACAGTAAACAACAGGTTTTCCTGGGGGAAGTAGTGGGGAAAAGAAGAACCTCTTGAAATCATGGAACAGAAAAGTGGGTAGGCCCCCAGTTTCATCCAAACCAAGGAACTATTGTTAGCAGCTTCAAAACAAGTCCGGATATGAAACCAATTGCAAACTATGGTGAAGAAAGTGTTAAGCGCACACATTCCAGTCCTCTTCTCTAAATAAGCATTTGCCAGAGTAATGCATTGCCCCGCTTGCACCCAATAAATCTGTCTATGAAACAGTGGCTTCCGGATTCACAGCCCAGCATCTTAGCCTCTGTGCCACTGTACACATATCTGTGAAATTTAGATCATGCCACCTGAGGAACCAATAGTCCCGTTTGCTTATAAGAATTTCTCTACCACTACAACATAATTCAAAGTTCTTTCATACAAAATAAGTTTTCTCCAAGAAAAAAACACACACGTCAAGATGAGTTATAAGCTAAACAAACTTGTTTCTAGTCAACAAAGATTTTTGTGAGTACACTGAAATAGTACAGACCAGACACAAGCTTACAATCTGAACGCAAACAGGCCTTCTCAGTCATGAGTATCCATGTGGTCTTGGAGAAAGCCAAGATCAGAGTGGAACAATTTCCAGGGAGCCATAATTTTTGGCTGGCTAAAATTGTGCTTGGCAGAATGATTCCGCCTCAGGGAAAAATCTCCAGGTCCAACTTTAGGACTGAGAAGGGTGCTGAAGGCTTGTTGACATGGCCGTGAGTGGCCGAGCTGCTCCAGGGCACCTACGGCAACCACCACCTCACTTCCCAGCTCCAGAGCCAGCACAGCTGGCCGTGTTTTATTGGTCTGGCTGCTTAGCAGCAGAGCTTATCTCCACACTCGTTCTATGGAGGGTTCCTGGGTATGGCTGTTGGGTTTGGCAAAGCTCAGCCTACAATACCCAGCCACAGCACCTTCAGCTTTCCTCACCCAAGGGGAGGCAGGGAGATAGGAGAGAGAGAAGGCATCTCTGCACTGCTGGCCAAACCCAATTCTGCAGCTGCAAGGTTGGAGAAAGGCTTGCCATGGCCAGCAAAAAAAATGGAGGTGCCTGTCTGTTTCCAATTACAGTTTTGAAGGGTAGTTTCCAATTCACCTTTGGGCTTTGTGTGACAGCCACAAACTACACAAGAACACTCACCCAGTGGCAGAGGAAGGGGAGTGCGGGGGGAGCGCACCGCCCCTGGCAGCACGATACCGGTGGGGTGCCATTGCGGCTCCCCCCCCCCACGCTGGGTGCCATGCCCCCGCAGGTGATGTGCCATGCCTCCAGGACGCGCGCCAGCCCCGCCCCCCGGTGCTGGAGCATGAAGCTCTGCCACTGCACTCACCACCACCAAAGTGGCTCTCCTTGAGGCTATACTGTCCAAGCGACTGTCGCCCTTAGGGCTACCCATCTACTTGGTGCGGGGCCAGCCTAATACATTTTGGCACCACAGGCAAACCACAAAATAGGACTCACTCCCCACACACGCACCAGGGAAGAAGGGGTGAGTGAAGATCTACATTAGAGAAAAAGAGGGGGGATCAAATCAACGTCACCTGAAGGCTGAAATGGGAATCAAAGGCCATTGTTGGAAGGGGGTGCACTGAATCATGCCAGGGAAGTGCAAAGCCCAGGAGACCCCAGAGAGCAGCCCCCACTATTTATTTATTTATTCCTTACATTTATATACCACCTTTTCCTCCAAGGAGCTCAAGGTGCTGAACATGGCTTCCCTCCTCCCTGTTTCACCCTCACAACAAACAGTCCTGTGAGGGAGGTTAGGCTGAGACATGGTGACCAGCCCAAGGCCACCCAGCGAGCTTCATGGCGGAATGGGAGATTCGAACTCTGGTCTTCAAGGTCGTAGCCCAACACTCTAACCATTTTGGGCTCAGGGGTGGAAGGAGACCAGCAGCATCTCCTTTTCCCCATGAGGCCACGGTAGAGGTTGGCGTTATTGTTATTATTCCTTACTAAATTTGCACACCGCCCTTCCTCCAAAGATCACAAAGCGGTTCACAACATAAAAAGACAAAACAAAAACACAGGACACATAATAAAACACAGGCAAAGGCAAGACAAACTAATCACCACCACCACCACCCCAGAGGCACATTTAAAAGGCCACAGCAGTCCAACGTCTGCTTGAAGAGAAACATTTCCAGCTGGTGCCTAAAGATAGGCAAGGAAGGTGCCAGGTCAGCCTCCCTGGGGAAAGCATTGGGTGGGGGGCCACCAAGCAGGCGGCAGATTCTGGAGGAGCATCTGCACCATCATCGTGCACCTAGGACCCTCGTACCTACGGGACCGCCTCTCCTGGTATGTCCCACAGAGAAATTTACGGTCTGCAAATAAAAACATCCCGAAGATCCCAGGCCACAGAGAAGTTAGGCTGGCCTCAACTAGAGCCAGGGTTTCTCGGCCGCAGCTACAATCTGGTGGAACGCTCTGTCACAAGAGACCAGGGCCCTGCGGGACTTGACATCTTTCCGCAGGGCCTGCAAGACAGAGCTGTTCCACCAGGCCTTTGGTCAGGGCCCAGCCTGACCCCCTCCTCTGGCAATCTGCACAGAATTTTGCTTAATGGTTGCCATCAATTTGATTTTAATTAATTTTATAATAAATGTTTTTAGAATGTTGGATTATTTTAATTGTTGTTAGCCGCCCTGAGCCCAGCTTCGGCTGGGGAGGGCGGGATATAAATAAATTTTTTTTTAATTATTATTATTATTATTATTATTATCGTTCAGCTGGGACACTGAGGTCCAGCACTGAGAGCCTTCTGGTGGTTCCCTCTCTGCGAGAAGTGAGGTTACAGGGAACCAGGCAGAGGACCTTCTCGGTGGTGGCACCCACTCTGTGGAACGCCCTCCCATCAGATGTCAAGGAAATAAACAACTATCTGACTTTTAGAAGACATCTGAGGGAAACCTAGTTTAGGGAAGCTTTTAATGTTTGATGTTTTCTTGTGTTTTTCATATTCTGTTGGGAGCCACCCAGAGTGGCTGGGGAGGGCCAGCCGGGTGGCCAGAGTATAAATAATAATTATTACTACTACTACTACTCCTACTACTACGCTGCAACCGTGGCGAATCCCTGCGTGGCAGGGGGCTGGACTAGCTGCCTCTGGAGGTCCCTTTCCCTTCTCGGAGGCGGGGCCTCCCCTTGCCGCCGCCGCCGCCTCCCTCCCTCCGCCCCGTCCGGCTTCTTCACCTGGAGCAGCGCGGCCAGCAAGACGCAGAGCCAGACCTGGAAGGGCCCCATCTGGCCCGCCTGGGGGAAGGCCTCCTCCACGTCCATGACGGGGGCTCCGGCCGGGGCGGCGGCGGCGGGTCTCCTCGCGGCCAGAAGCGCATCCCGCTCGCTGACAGGAGACGCGCCGCCCCAGCGCGCATGCGCGAGGAAGGGAGCGCGCCGTCCGCCGGGAAACGCGGCCCCCCTTTCGACATCCGGGGCTTTAGGGCGGAGCTGTGATTGGGCAAGGCCGCGAGATGCTCCCGCCCTCCTCCCCAAGTCCCTCCCGCCGGAAGCCGGTTGCGTCGCGGCGTCTTCTCTCCAGGCTGAGTTGAGCGGAAGTTCCCGCTGGACCCGGAAGAGGCGGCAGGCGAAACCGGGCGGGCGAAAAAATTCGCAGCGAACCTGCGGACTCATTTTAATTCTGTAGCTCCATAGACACAATAATTCTATATGTGTGTGTGCATTTTTTAAAATAAGATATAAAACATTCGTTTCTAGCCCGCCTGTTTCTCAGACAGGGACTCAAGGCGGCTTACAAGAAAATGACACAGAGATCAAATTCATCCCTTTTGTCGCCTTCCTGGTTTCATTAACCATTAAAAACCAAACCATTAAAAATGCTAACCATTCTAATATAATAATAATAATAATAATAATAATAATAATAATAATGTAAATAGATATGGGAATTCATGCTTTCAGCGTAGCTGTGGGTTGGGCGGCAAAGTTTCCCTCGCCCTCAAACAAACCAAGGTAGCTGCCAAGAAGGGAGTTTGTAACTGGCTGGATTTGTTTGGAGCCGGGCTGGGCAAGACTTCAGGACCGTCAGATGGTCAACATCATGTTTTCCTGGCATCTCCCAAGATAAGTTGCTCCTGCCAGCCAGAGCCAGATGCAACAGGCCTGCAACTGGAAATAAAGACAGGGGCTCATTTCTCACCTCGATCTGAGACTACAAATCTCTTTTCTATTTTAGAACTGAAGTCGACTTCCAGTTTTTCCTCCCCCCCCCCCCCGGGTCCATTCCGGATAGTTTAGTTTTGTTTTTGTTTTTCATTTCAGCAGACTGATTTAGCGGTGCACCTCAGATGAGTGTTCATTGTCGGATCAGTGCTGGCATCAAAATGTCAGCCTGTATTCCTCAGCATCCCCTAAATCCAGATTTACTTTTTCCACAGGAAAACTCGACTGTGCGCACATTCATTTAAAGTGTATTAGAAGCACATCCTTTTCCTCCAAGATTTCTGAGGGCTGTAGTTTCCCCTTTGCAGACACACAGTTCCCCGTAACCCATCACAGACTACAAAGCCTCTTATGAGGGGAAGGAATGTGTTTTAAAGGTATACTGCATGGACACCTGCCACCAATAACCTTTTTGTGGTTTCTGAAAGACCCACTATGCCCCCATCTGGAAACATCTACAGGTCACATCCAGACCATACATTTAAAGTAATGCCCTCCATTTTGACAGTACAGTGGTACCTCGGGTTACAGACGCTTCAGGTTAAATCCGCTTCAGGTTACAGACTCCGCTAACCCAGAAATAGTGCTGCAGGTTAAGAACTTTGCTTCAGGATGAGAACAGAAATCGCAGTGGCAGCGGGAGGCCCCATTAGCTAAAGTGGTGCTTCAGGTTAAGAACAGTTTCAGGTTAAGAACGGACCTCCGGAACGAATTAAGTTCTTAACGCAAGGTACCACTGTAATGCGACCTTCTCCCAAATAATCCTTAGTTTCTTAAGGACACTTGGAACTGTAGCTCTGTGTGGGGACTCTGTTTTTTTTAGCTAATATCACATATTTGTAGAAATTAGAAAGTGGCGGCTTTTGGGTGATGTTATAGCATGCAACATCACTTGGAATTAACAGCATAAGAAGGATCATACCAAATGCTCATCTAGTGAAACAGCCTATTCTTTTTTAAAAAATTATACTTTTCAAGTTTATCCACTTTACGAATTTTAAAATCATTTTGACATTTCAAAACTTGACTTCCTTTCCCCTCTTTCTGCAGTTCCTTAAATTTATTTTTAATATCTTCTGCATATCCAAATCAATTTAATTTGCTCATTACAACAAAATGCATTTTGAATTTATTTCTTATCACATCATTCGCAGGTAGCGATCATGACATTTTCAAGGGTTCTGGCCTACTACAAATGGCACTTCCAGTATGGTAGGCTAGGTTTAAGTTAATATATGTACATAAACAGCAGTTCTTGTCAATAGATTGTGGGGGTTGGGGGGGGATGCAGGGAGCCCAATCCATATTCAGTGAACCAGCCCCAGGAAATCCTAGGATCATAGAATTGTAGAGTTGGAAGGGACACTGGGGATCATCTAGTCTAACCCCTGTAATTAAGGAATATGCAGCTGTCCCATCTGGGGATAAAACCTGCAACCTTGACGTTATCAGCACCACAACCAATGGAGCTATCCAGGCTGATTATCCTCTTGGCATCTCTGGTTCCAACCCTTGTTTCTGTCCTCTTTGGGGTCCTTCTGCCAGGCAGACTGATTGCTGATGTAACGTCTACCCACCAGGTAGTCCTTGGGCTAGCAGACGGGTTTAAACTGTGAGGGGTTTCTTCTTCTTCTTCTTCTTCTTCTTCTTCTTCTTCTTCTTTGCAAATCTCCAGCATATTGGAGGTTTGGATTGTACTGATAGCTCATTTCCATATGGCCAGTGGGAGTTGCTTTTTCAAACTCCATCTGCCCCCAGACAAATACTTAATACGCCACCCCTCTTTCTCCTCCCCTGTAAGACCATACCTCATATTAGGGATGCTTTGCTTTTTTGCTTTCTAAATTCATCAGACTCACCTTCAAACGTAGAGTGTTTTATGTGATGAACAGCATTCCGCACACCGGCTCCTAGACACTAGTTTAGGACAATCCACTGATTTAATATGGGGCACAGAACAGCCATCAAGTCGAGTTTCATGAGCGAAGTAAACCTGCATGCTTCAATAATATTAACATGCCCTACTCCTGACTATGTCATAAATTTGCTGTAGGATATAAATTCAGCGCCTGACATTCTAAAAGGATTTGGCATTTGTAACTGGTTCATTGGGCTCAGCACCTGAGGCTCGGCAAAAGCAGGAGTTTCAGAGAGTGCATCTCCGATGCCTTTAACGGTTGTATTTATTAGACTGAATTGTGTTGATGAGGCAAAAGATGCGTCAGGAGAGATGAGGGGAGCCGAGGTGTGAAGAGAGGCAGCTGAGTTCCCTTGAGCCTCCTGGTAAGTCACACATGCAGCGTGGCCTTTGGGTGATTGCAGGGGCAAGACGGGCAAAAATAATTCTCAGAGTGACAAAAGGGTAATGATTAAGGCTTGCATGGCTATGAACATTCCCCATGGCCACTGCTGTGGTCTTACCATGCTCTTATAAAAATAACTCCACCATCACTACGGCCCCCACTAGTTTTGAGAATGTGTCTCGTATATGCTCACAAGCACAGGGCAGGGCTGCCACTCAGGAGTGCGAAGGTTACAATGGATCAAAAATCAAGGCCCTGGAATTAATTGAGGTTAGTAAACACAACTGGACACAGCTGGATGAATCTTTGGAGGGGGAGTTTAATGTTGCATGAAAGGCTGAAGTTGGCTGCAGTACTGCAGCACTGATAAATGGTCTCTCCCTATGGATTCCTGGATGGGGAGGCATCCTTTGTCAGAAAAGCACCCCACAATTGGGAGGTTTTTAGTGAGTGAGGGCAGGGGAAGAGAAATAAAACTATTTATTCATTTGCTGGCTGGGGACCCTACTACTAGGGACACGGGTGACGCTGTGGTCTAAACCACTGAGCCTCTTGGGCTTGCTGATTGGAAGGTTGGTGGTTCGAATCCCCGCAACGGGGTGAGCTCCCATTGCTCTGTCCCAGCTTCTGCCAACCTAGCAGTTTGAAAGCACACCAGTGCAAATAGATAAATAGGTATCGCTGTGGCGGGAAGGTAAACAGCGTTTCTGTGTGCCCTGGTTTCCATCACAGTGTCCCATTTCACCAGAAGCAGTTTAGTCATGCTGCCCACATGACCCGAAAAGCTGTCTGTGGACAAATGCCAGCTCCCTCGGCCTGAAAGCGAGAGGAGCACTGCAACCCCATAGTTGCCTTCGACTGGACTTAACTGTCCAGGGGTCCTTTACGTTTACCTTTACTAGTACAGTGGTACCTCGGGTTACAGACGCTTCAGGTTACAGACTCCGCTCACCCAGAAATAGTACCTCAGGTTAAGAACTTTGCTTCAGGATGAGAACAAAAATCGTGCGATGGCAGCGGGAAGCCCCATTAGCTAAAGTGGTACCTCAGGTCAAGAACAGTTTCAGGTTAAGAATGGACCTCCAGAACGAATTAAGTTCTTAACCAGAGGTACCACTGTATTCAGTAGGGTCAAAGAAGTCTTCAAAGCAGCTGCTATATCAGAAGAATTTATTGGAAGTGATAGTGGGTGAGGTAAGAAGAAAAAAAAAGAGCTGGCTAAACCCATGTAAATTTCCTTCACTTAGCACAAGTTCTAGTACATATTTTATCCTCATAAAAGGAGGTACTGTTATGTTACCACATTTCCCTGGGTAATAGTGTGGTAGCTCTTCCCTTCAACACCAGTACTGATGCTGGTTGCGCCAGCTGGCCAGCTATGGATGAGGGATACGTTCAATTCACACTTCAAGGCAAACTTCCCTAATCCACACTTTACAGAACAAAATGCGAACCGAAACACAGCCACCCTTTCAAATTCACTCTTTGAATTTTGCAATGCAATTCCCCAACCGGCTAATGCGTACAAAACTGGACCAGCAAAAATCACACACAGAATACATTAAATCAGCAAGAATCACTTTGCAAAAGAAAGTGTATATTTAGCAAAATTGCATACGTAAATGTGTGTTTATTAGGACAAATTTGTACTAAAATGCTTGCGAATTTTTGTGCGTTTTTTGGTTTTTTAAAAAAACCACATTGCAAGCTGATGTGAAAATGTGAAGAACTCAACTTAAGCCTGGGTGGGGTGGGGAGGGTAGCCTGACTGGTCCAGAGCCCAAGGAGTCTTCTGCT